CGACAAAATAGAGCTGATAGAAACGAGGCATATTACAAAATAAAAGAGGGACAGAGGAATTTGAGCCCAAAACAGGGACTGTACTTCATAAATAGGGACAATTGGGAGGTAAGCCCCTGTGCTGCCACACACCAAGCTGTAAAAACATTTGAGGCATGGCATACCAATCCTAGTGGCTATTGTGCTGAGTGATCCTTTTAACCCATGGTTGTCAAACACAGCCCCCACTTGCAGTCTATGAATTTTGAATATGAATTTTACACCCATGTCTTAACTGCGTGTGCCGCTTATCCATTTGGGTGTAATATATATTGTCCTTGTGTGTGATTGTATGAGTTTTCTTCTTTTTTTTTTTTTAAAGAGAGCCTGACATTTTGTGCCTGTGGGATAAAAAGGAGAGGAAGATCTCAATGCAACAAGGGATGATAACTTGCAACTCTGTGTCTGTGCTGTGGCTCCTTCATCCATTCTGTGGTATTTGGAAGGACTCTAGAAGTAAATGAATAATGCATGACTAAAGGATTGCTGTTGGCCCGTTTTGTCAAAAATGTTGCCTTATTGACAGCTTTAGTCCATTTTAAATGTGTAACACATTCCTGCTGTGTCTGATTACTTTACTGTATCTGTGATCAGAGCATTCTCTCTGATCAATCTGACCTGTTTAGATTTTTGATTTGCTACTTGATTTAAAAAAAACGCAAAACCCTTTCAGTCAGTTTTTCTTTTGGTACTAAAAAAAAAAAGTATGCGAAAAACTATCATCATCATCACGTTTTGGTAAGTACAATCATGATTAATTATGATCAATAAACAAGAATTAGAGTATAATCGTGTTTACAAGACAACCACGACTTTTTGTAATCGTCATAAGAAAACAGAAGGTTCGCGGTAATAAACAATATCCAGCTAGAACAAGCAAGCAGCAGTTTGCGATCACACAAACATGGCCAGCTCAGCTTCCGTAGCGGACGAACGCCCTCCCCAACTCTATGGTGCGTGTGTACTTCTGCCCTTGGACTCTATCGCCCCCGGAAGACCTTTTTTTTTTTTTTTCGTTTTCATTTTCTGCTTCTCGTGTTTCCGGATTGGGGACAGTAGGTGAGTTCACATCGAAATACCGGTACTTCTGAATTGAGGAAGGATTGTAAGACTTATTGTCATATCTTCACGTTTCAATTATTATATGGTGCATGCCATTTGCAATGAGCTCCCAATGCATGCAGTATCTCACCAAATTAATGGGTCCATGTGTAGGCACATGGCTTCTGGTTGTGGCGCTGGTGTGTGTGTTTATTTCATTTATTTGTTTATTTTAAATATGGATTAACACACAAACCGTGTTGCTCTTTGGATTATTTTAACAGATTTTATTTCTCCCCCTCCATCCAATTTATGAAGGTAGGATCTTCTGGCTATGTGGTACTGTGTTTATGACCCCTAAGGGGTCAAACATCCATGGTACATGGTAGCTTTAATTTATACATAGCTTTATCTGTTACAGGGATACTTCAGGTATAGAGTGAACCACATATTTCAAAGGTTTAATCCAACAAAACAAATGCATTTAAAAACAAAAAAACACTGTTTTTGACTTCGTTACCCTTTCTGTTTTGCACAGAATTTACATTAGATGACGCAGCAGGAGGTGGAGTTGCATCATTGGCAGCAAAATGGTTAAAGGTACACTCCACCCAGACCACTTCTGCCCATTGGAGTGGTCTGGGTGCCAACTCCCACTACCCTTAACCCTGCAAGTGCTGCAGGGTTAACTCCTCCTCTAGTGGCTGTGTACTAATCATTGCCGCGCATGCGCATTAGGTCTCCGGAGCGTTGGCGGACCCTGAACCAGCGCCGAGGGACATCGGCGCTAGATACAGATAAGTCACTGAAGGGGTTTTAACCCCTTAAGCAACGTGGGAGGGAGAGGGGACCTGCAGTGCCAGGAAAACGGTTTGTTTTCCTGGCATTGAAGATTCCCTTTAATCTCTGTATGTACAGCATTTCAAAGCAAAATGCTGCACATACAGATTCCAGGCACCATGACCACTTCAAATCACTGAAGTGATCATTGTGCTTGGAGTAACCCTTTAATATATATGAGTTAAATTATTAAAACCAATTTAAAAAAAAAAATTGCTCTGAAGTTCCTGCATTTTCTGGCTTTTTACTGCTTGTGTGGGTTTCTGTCCAGACAAGGGAGTGACTCTGCTATTCAGGGTGATCCTAATTAAAGGGACACTATAGGCATCCAGACCACTTCAGCTCATTGAAGTGGTCTGGGTGCACTGTCCCTGTCTCCTTAACTGTCCAATTGTAATTATTGTAATGATTGATTAAAGGATCACTATAGGGTCAGGAACACAAACATGTATTCCTGACCCTATAGTGTTAACTCCACCATCTAGCCCCCCTGGGCACCTCATGCCTCCATAAATATAGTAAAAAATCTTACTGTATTCAAGCCTGAAGCTGTAAACCTGCATGCTGTTAGACTCTGCTGACATGTGGTAGCCTGATCCAATCACAGTGCTTCTCCATAGGATTGGCCGAGACAGCATGATTCAAACATAGCCCTGGCCAATCAGCATCTCCTCATAGAGATTAATTGAATCAATTAATCTCTATGAGGAAAGTTCAGTGTCTGCATGCAGAGGGAGGAGATTCTGAATCACAGGATGCTGTGCACAGTGCTGCCCTGTGCTCTGCTGACAGCAGATCTGAGTGGATGGAGGCATATTATGCCTCAATCAACTCCGAAGTCCCTCTGGTTCTCACTGAGTGACTGCAACTGAAGGTGTTCCTAGCTTTCAATGTAAACACTGTATTTTCTCAGAAAATACAGTGGTTACATGAGAGAGGCTGCAGGGAGCTATAGATCTCACCTGAACAACCTCATTAAGCTGAAGTTGTTCAGGTGACTATAGTGTCCCTTTAACTGCAATAATTACCTTGCAGGGTTAACACCACCTCTAGTGGTTGTGTACCAAACAGTCACTGGAGGCACTTTTGCTTGAGGACATTCAGCATCATCTAAAACCCCATTCCTAAGCGTTGAGCCGGAGTGATGTCATATCCCGGCTCTGGCTTCACTAAGCGGAGCATGAGGGAGCAGAGCAGGGAGATCACAGCTCCCTCACTGTTGGCTTACAGAACGTGCAGGCCGTCTGCCTCGGAGAGAACAGGCTCACAAATCTCAGATGCCAGGGCTAAATTCCTTGTCATCATGGCAACCTGGCACCTGGGATTTGTCGAGTCCTAAGATACGATGTTTGTGGATTATGGTGTTCAATACTCTGCAGTATTTCCATTCATCACATTGGATGAACTGCAGCGATGCCTTTTACATATGTGTTTGGAACTATGCACTGACAACCCCCAGTCTTGCAATGACACATTTTGTAGCTTGGTAGGGTTAGGTTAGGACGAATATACTACTGCCTAAATTTCCCTTGAAATATTTCCAATCTGACACCCGAACTGCTAAATACTAAGGAAAGTTTATTAAGCTCCTATTAAGAACAATGGGAACACCATAATTTGCTGATAGAAGTCAGTAACTCCCTGGTCTGTGCTGCAGGTTTGTATAAAAATAGAAATTCATTATTTAGTTTTTTTGACTAGCAATATTAAGTGTTGGGAATGTTGTTTATGTTTAGAAGAAGCATTATTTTTCTATTCCATTTTAATACACAATTTCATTTGTAATGGAAGTTTGCCTTAAAAAGCTCCATAAGCAGCATCTACACTGCAGCCCTCTTTAGAGATTAAGGGTTCAGGAGTGCACTCCTTTCAGAGTTCTCTGTCAAACTGTTTTGGAATGAAATGAGCAGTTACCTGGGGTCCTACACAGCACTCGGTTCACTTCTGCTTTAGAGGACAAGAGACAGGGAAAGGGTCTTGTTTTAATTTCCAAGAGAGCTCCTATTTTTGAATGCCCTTTCTAGTTTTTCATAAGCTTGGTTGTGGTGCTTTTGTGCTCCTTTAAAATGTATTGTTTGCTTTATGTAATCAAACATTTTGATATTCTTGAAGAAAGGGACCTTAGGGACACTTTAAATCAGGGCTTGACAAACTTGCTTTCATTCTAGGAGCCAGCTAAAAAAGTTAGGAGCCAGATTTTTTTTTAAACTGCCATAGCTTTATATTCAACAACGAAAATACAATTTTAAAAGGGACACGATAGTCACCAGGACCACTACAGCTTAATGTAGTGGTTCTGGTGTTTATAACCTGTCCCATGCAGGCTTTTCAATGTAAACACTGACTTTTCAGAGAAAAGGCAGCGTTTAAAATGCTTTCTAGTGACACCACTAGTGACCGGCACTCAGATGGTCACTAGACGTGCTTCCTGTTTCAGTGCTGCACAGTATGCAGCACCTACATTCAGCGTCTCCACACTCTGCATGGAGGTGCTGAATGTTCCCCATAAAGATGTATTGATTCAATCCATCTCTATGAGGAGATGCTGATTGGTGCCGCGTTTTGCAGCCAATTCTATGGGAAAACATTGTATTGGCTGAGATCATCAAGCTTGATGATCTCAGCCATAGAGGCACGTCCAGTCGAGGGGAGACCAGCATAGCGTAGGGGGAAAAAAGTGAGTAAAAACACCATTCCATTGCAAACAGAAGGGGTCTGTTAACCTAAACACACACATCATGAGACACATATACCATGACAGACAGACCCATATACTCACACACACATCTACCATGACAGTCACACACACACACATCTACCACGACAGTCACACACACACACACACACACACATCTACCATGACAGACACACACACACATATACCATGACACTCAGACACACCCACACTATGACAGAGAGACCATACACTCACACTATGACAGACAATACCTGTGGGGTCCAGTTGGCGACTGGCTGGGGGATCGTGCAGGCGGGTGGCAAGTTAGGGGAATTTGGAGGCAAGGGAACTGTGATGTCCCTGCTCTGCTTCACGCTTAGTGAGACCGGTCCCGGAATACATGATGCGGGGCCTCGACGACCCCCAGCATGCCGCCCGCCTCCATAATTCCCCAGCCAGCCTCACATATCACAGATGCCAAGGCAAAATTCCTAGGTGCCATAGGGACGTGGCGCTTGGGATTTGCCGAGCTCTGGTTTAAATGTTTATTGCTCTAAGACTTTTTTTTATGCACAAAATTAATTTATAGTTTTTAGTTGTCTATTTTTTTTTTTTTTTCTTTCAGCTTTCATACCGGTCTGTGTACACATGCCAAAAGGTTTTTCTATTGGACAGCTTTAACAAAATGGATCCATTTAGAGCCCAGCAGCTGGCGGCAGAACTTGAAGTGGAAATGATGGCAGATATGTATAACAGGTAAAACATGTTTGTGTTTTCTTTTTATCATTTGTTTTCATTAATCAACCTTCTTTCTTTCTCCAATGCTTTTTTTTTCTATTTTCTACATACCATCGTTTTATAACTTTTTTTTTTTATTAGTTATAACACATCTTCCTCTTGCTTTTAAGAGGAATTGTAGCACTCTTGTCTTTTACAACGCAATATTTTTCAGGGCCATTTTATTTTCCTCAACCAGATCCTGTTGTCTTAATAAATATTAATATTGAATTTTAAACCGTTTCTTAAATCCTTTTGCCTCTCCAGATTAGTTATAAGTTATGCTGGTGGGTTTTTTGTTTTTTTGTGTGTGTTTTTTTTTTTTCTCCTATAACTTTCAATAGGCTATAACAGCCAAAAATCCATATTGATTATTATTATGTTATTTGTTTGTCCCACAATGTAAGTGTTGTCAGTCAACTCCTGTCTTTGTTCCTGTCTACCTAAAAAAACATCTTTGACTCTGATATCCCTCAGGATGACAGGCGCTTGTCACAAAAAATGTGTCCCACCTCACTACAAGGAAGCTGAGTTATCTAAAGGAGAAAGTGTCTGCCTAGACCGTTGTGTTTCTAAATATCTGGATATTCATGAACGTATGGGTAAAAAACTGACTGAATTATCTATGCAAGACGAAGAGCTTATGCGAAAGATGCAACAAGGTGTCGGGCCTGCTCAGTGATGTCACATAAAGTGGGATTGTGAACCAGATTCTTTCATGGAACAGACTTGCATAATGGTGCTTGGCAGTGGTGTCTCATGGCAGTATTTCCTCTGGTGATGCAGCTTGCTGGTGCAAGACCTGCATAAATCTAGGCTTGTAAAACAAGAACGTACAAGAAGCTCGTGCACCTGTTTTTGACATTGTCTTTCTGTGTGAATATATACATCTATATATCAGTTTTATATATTTTGTGGTTTATTTAAACATGTTTTAGTAAAATATGAATGGGCTGAAACAATGTTATAATAATAGAATAAAACATCTTATTCAAATCTCAGAAAAGCATTGCCTATTTTGCATGAAACAAAAACATTGTCTAACAGTGGGGCTGGGGATGTTTTCCCAGAGAAAGCTGTGTAAATTGTAGCAATTATACTGGCATTATAGTGGACATATCAATGGCTACCTTAGTTCTAAGCCTGGGATATCTGAAAAATATGCCTTCAGGATTAGGTGAGGGCCTTGCCCTGGTGTTTCTGAAGAGGCTAATCTCGCACGTGTGCAACAATACTTTTGTCCCCTTTTTGCTAACTATAAATATCCATATATTTATAAACAATTTTTTGTGTTTGGACATTTTCGTTTTAAAAGTTTATATTGAGAGGCAACTTAAAAAAACAAAAACAAACTAAACAGCCCACATTAAAAATGTCCTAATCCAATGCCAGGACATATACTTCTCTGCAGACTGGTCCTTGTCCAATGATGACTGTGTCCAATGAAAAGTTTCTTTTGTAGTGTGCTTGCTCAGTCATTGATACCAATCTAGTACTTAACTGTGGAGAGTTTTTTTTTTTTTATCCTTTAGTGGTCAGTAGAGGCATGGGAATTGTAAAATGTTAACAATGCTTTTTCTCAGAAAAGTTAGTTTTCTTTTACAAGTGATTTTGGTGCTTTATGTGTCACTTTAATGTACATTTCTACAATATAGACAAATGTATCAGTCCACAGAAATGAGGTTGGTTAAAAAGAAAGCTATTCTTTTTTACAGAAGAACCGGGAGACAAAAACATAATTTTTTTTTATTACACAAATTAATTCTATGTAATATATTCCTGTTGTGTTTTGTACATGTAAAGTTAGGGATTTTCAGTGAAGCATTCTGACTTGTCCTTGCCACATTGGATTGGTCATCTTTAGTTCTCTTTTTGGTCAGAAGAACCACTTATTTACTAAGAGCAATTGGAAGGTCTGAACTGCCTCAGAGTGCATTTTTATATCCGTGTTGCTTGTGGTTGATGTCAGGATTTGTGAGCACACACTAGTTCTGGATTACCTGCATGGTTTATGGTCAGATAAGCTGTGCTTCCGATCAGAGGTCTTAAACATGACTGCTCCCATAGAGCAAGCTTAAACCATGAGAGGCACTGTAAAAAGAGGTATTTAATTATATGAATGCATCACAATATATATTGGTAATTTATTTTAAACAATACATTAATTTTTCCTTTTAAAATCACATTTCTCAAGTAGAAAACACTGTCCTTAACTGTGAAAAACAACCATAGTATCAGTGGGGCCCCCCATAATTTTTCATATGGGATGCTAATAAGTAATAAAACAACAATTTATGCTTTTTTTTATTATATTGTTGTAGTCATTTTAACAGCCCCACTAGTAAGCAATGTCAAACAACTGTCACATCAACACTGTTTTTTGTAATATAATTATCCTTTCATCAAACTTTGAAAGGAAATAAGTTTTGTTGAATTAAGTATATGTAAAAATGGAGACATACTAAACGTAAGAATGAGTTTATGATAGCGTCTTCCAGCCATATAGATGCACCTTGGGTCAGACAGTATATGAAATCCGACAGTGTTTATGGTCTTTTTCGGCTTCACTCCCTGTACAGTGCAGTAACATTATCATACTAACTGTCAATTCAAGCACTGTCTGACGCAAGGTGTATACATATGGCTGGAGAATCCTGTCCTATAGTAAAGGTAGGGATGAGTTTTTTGTTGTTGTTGTTTTTTTTTTCTCGTTTTTTTTCATATATTTAACAAAGAATCTATTTCGTTTCAATGCTTGATGAAAGGCTCAATATATTAAAAAAAGTGTTGAGGAGACCATTGTGGTTTAAGTTTATTTACTAGTTTATTTCAGCTAATGTGCATAAATGTGAAAATCACATTGAATTCTTATTAACTTTCATTTTAGCAAATAAACCTATGGAGTTTATTAATGAAATACTAGTGATTAGAAATGATGATTAGGACAAAATCGTGTATAGTTACCGCTTGATTACTTTAGCTTAAATTTAGAAGTTTGTTTTTTATTCCACTAAGTTTGGTGGCTTTTCATTCTTGTTCTTTTTTGCTCTTTAATTGAAATTATATGGTTGGTTATTATATGTGCCAGTTTAAATTCATATTTTCATACACTTCAGGCTTTTTTATTCTCATACTGTGCTTCCTCTGTGCTGATACTGGTCAGTACAGTGAAATTTTGTTTCTCCCTCCCCCTCCCTCCCTCCCTAGCATTCCCACCCCCTGTGTAATACCTTATAAAGTAGTAGTGTTTCCTGTAGCTGTCCCCCCTCCCTTTCTCTCCCTTTCTCTTGAAGGAGACATTTGGGTGGTGAGTTTTTAAGTCAGCAGTGAGTGCACTCTACACAAGGTAGGTATACACATGGCGTGCAGATACTCCTATTTCGTGTTTGTTTCTCTTGGGTTTTGTCTTTATCTTTTTTTTTTTTTTGTCTATGCAACTCTCATTTTTCACTCTACACGTGGCGTTTATTTCTCTGTTCAGAAAGCAGGAACTGCAGCTTTTTAGGGCCATATGTCCATGTGCTGAAAGTAAAATACTGAAAGAAGAGATTGTGTTAGAAAGAACAGTCCTTGGGCTGTTCACTTTGTGTTAGAAGTATACAGTATGTCAGAAGTGTGTGTGTAAGACTTTCTGATGTAATAATTTGTGTTCATTACACGTGTCTTTCAGCATGCCTGTGTTATATGGGTACGTTGTAAATGAGTAACATGATTTGACAGTCCAAAACACAACTATGGCACATGTTTACTTTTCAAAACTATCTTATTTTACATAGCTATGTATGTAAATAGTTATATATAGTACACACAGAAACATATGCACATCTACTTTTTCACTGCAGCATATTAAGATTTATTGTAGTGTTAATTTAAGAACTTACTTGTATTGAGTTATGAAAGTCGTACATACAGATTACTGATCATGTTTAAGTATGCAAGCATGTGGTGTGCTTCTTTGTCTCTATATATTTTGGCAGAGACTTTCTTCATTAAAATCAGTGTGTTAGCCGGAGCAACTTCAAGAATGCAGGGAGTTAAAGATCCAGTTACAAGCCACATGGGGATAGTGCAACCATGTCCATCTGTTACACTTTTACAGTCACAGAAAGAGAGTCTTCTGGGCCATCATGTGAACAATCTTCATCAGGCTCTTAACATAGATTTTCACTATGTCTGACAAGTGACCGTTGGTGAAATAGACCCATACAACATGTGCTTTTGTTATACATGTGACTTAAACATAAGTTCATGTTTAGGCACACAATGATCAGTTGTTGGAATACAGTGTAATCCCCAGCGTGAACCCGGTAGCACACTAAGAAAAAATTGTAAAAAGTAGATATAACTTGGAGATTCAAGTCCACGGTCTTCATTAAGTGCCAAATTGTGTTTTTCTATGTTTGTGTTTATTGAAACTCAATGCCAACCTCTTTCTTTCAGTATGTTGTTGGGTATAAACATAACTACCTAGCCTAATGGTATATCTACAAACATTAAAACATACTTAAAATAGTTCAACAATAACAAGTGTAACACGTGAGGAGTTTAATTTTAAAATGTAATCTAAAAAAGTACTCATTTGTTTATAAATTATTGTGCAGACAACTTGCTTCATGCCATAAATTAGTGAAATCACACGCTATTATTTTTTTTTTCTTGAAATCCAAAATAAATCCAAAACCTACATATAAAGAAAATCATTAAAATGTACACATTAGCATTTCCTAAAATATTACACAAGGTTTTATTTTTTTTTACATTTATATTGCAAATTGCTTTCTTTTGTTTTCATCGATCTTTTCTGAGATATTGACAAAAATAAAATGAGGTTATATACAGAATTAGATAAACCGTTAAAAGAAAACTAAAACATTGTAAATACTTAACAAATAATTAACAGACATGTTGACAGTTATACGCCATCCCAAGTAAGATGCAGTTTTGGAGGTTAAAGAGGGAGTAAAATGTTTGAAAGTGGGTCACCGAATTGTGGTTAAATCAAGAATAGGCTATATTATTGTGGCTGACCAAAGGACTCCATAGCTGCTCAAGAATTATTTAAAATCTGTTTAGTTAAATGTGCATGTAGAAATAAAGTCATGATAGAGTTCTCAGCCAATTATTCACTTTCAATCCCTTGAGCATATGAGACATATTTATTTTACATTTCATATATAGTGCTCATCTTCAATGTCATAAATATTCAAAATATGAATTGTGGGGAATAAAAATTAAATTAAAAAGTAATTTCAATGTGGGCTCTGTCACTGCATAATTTGCAAAGACCCCTGGCAATGACTGCTGTGTGTGGTGGTGGATTGCAGGGGAAGGTGGGTTATATTTACTTGAACCTGTTCCTCAGAGCCACCTACATTGGTCTTGCTGCCAGGTGAAATTATTTGTGTTGTACAACACTGAGGTCTATGGAGCATACTGTGAAATTGTGAGATCCTCCATAGACAGTGCCTTTCCCTTGCCTGCAGCCATCACCAGGGACAGTTGGTGGAAATGACAAAACCTGACAAAGGCCTTTTGTCATATAGAGGAACAGTACTAAGTCTATATTTTGTCTTAGGGTATCTCTTGACTGCATTGGAATTTCAGTGAAATTCTAACACAGACATTGCCAGTATTTCATACAGATTTAATCTTTTTGGAAGGGGAGGTCGAATCTTAGACCAAAATACCCAGACATTAATGACTTGGGAAATGTTTCCATTTTGGCCTATAATGTGAAATTCACTTCGAATTATTGACTGTTTACACTGAAACTGTCAACTGAATAATCTAAATACATCTAAACTGAATAATTCAGATATCTATGCATCTAAAAGGTTAAACTTAGAAACTGGAATTTTAATAATGGATAATTGCCAATTTGAGTATCTGATCTTCCCATTACCTATCTAAGATAAGAGATATTATATTTACCCTAGAATTCTGGAAGTCTTAAGTTTTAGTGTCTTGTTAAATAAATGTGTCCTTTTGTTTCTTGCTTCCTGAGTGTGCGTTGCTTTTTTAATTTAAAAAAACATTGTATTGAATCTGTTAATCAAATGTTTTACAATAATGATAATAGAACAAAATATAAAACAAATCCTAATAAAAGAGGGGGGGGGGAAAGGGAAGGGGTGAAAAAAAAAAATAACCCATACAAAATAAGTCATATTTGAATTGTTTAATAGTTGTATAATACCTCTGAAATGGCTCTAAAATAAAAAAAAAATACTTCTTATAGGGTATATTTTACAGAGAAAATATTTTTACAATCTCTTCTTTCCATATATCCCAATAATATTTTAGGCCATCTGTAAATGAAGATGATTGTCTAATAGCTGATTCGGTTTGTTTACGCTCTTAGATGGTATATAATGTTGCCATAGAGGACATAGTCTTAAATTAGAGGGGCAAAGGTTTAACGATATTATCAGGAAGTATTACTTTTTTTTAGTAGATATACCTCAAATGAAAGCATGCATTTATGTATTTTTAATTGCTGGTATAGCTAAAAATAGATTGTAAAAGCTGCAGTTTTCTTGTTTACTGCCTTTGGAAGCCCTTCCCTTCTAAACCCGCCCAGACATTCTGTGACTGTCCAATAACAATCTTCCCAATGCTGCTCAGTGAAAAGTATTTGCAAGGCAGTTGCTCTGAGCAGTTGTCTGCCTCTTGAGTTTAACTTTAGTAAAATGAAAAAGAAGACACTCTACTTACATAAAGCATTCCAGCACTCAAGTGCATTATGGGAACAGAGTGTACCTTCAACAAAAATTATTGACTGTTCTGGACAGATATAATTAAATCAAGGCCATAGTGTTGTAATTATTATGATTGGGCAGATCAAAATTAAAAGAGTGAAGTGTATTTTCCTTATGGCAAGACTTTTATATATCTAAAAAGAGCATTGCTGTTTGGGGAAATAATGTTTCTTTCCATTCCATTGTAAGATTAGATCCTGCAACAGGATGTAAGAAATGCAACCAGGAAATTGCATCCCAAGAAGCTGCCAAACATATCAATGCAGTTACCATTATCTCAGGTTCTGTTTGTTAATGATAATGAGGATAGATCATATTTGTAAATGTTACGTTTCCTAATAATTTGGTTAAATTTGCCTTTGAAACATTTTATTGCCCGTGTATGTCTGTAAACAGTGTACATAATTCAGACTATTCGCTGGTTAAATTCTAATTGCTATTCCTATTATAGGTAGATGCGTGGTTGGTATTCTTTTTACACTGTGTTCCTATCATATTCTAGAATTCTGGGATATTGCAGAAGTAAAATGTGCTATATAGGTGGAGGCACACAAGTCAAACCCACTAATGCTATAATTCTTTTTCATTTAGAGATCTTGTAAATAGTCTCAAATTACACCATTACATTGAATACAATTGAGAGATAATGTACCTAATTATACTTTAGCTTTACATGTCTTGGTTTATTGCTACCTTATCCTAATATTTGTTAGAGAAGATTAACAGTAATTTATCTGTTTTGAACTAATTTCCCTCTTATAAAACATTTCGTGATTATCTTTTCTCTGAGAAATAGAACGCTGACATAATCCTTTAAGTCAATGAGACAAGTTAGGAGAGTATTCCTCCAGTTATATGTTTAAACCTCAGAGGTACAAGTTTATTTTAGAGCAGGGTCAACCCAGCCTTTATTCCCCCTGAGGTCTGTAAAGTGAACACTGTATACAGAGGTTTCTAGAATTTAAGATTTGGTCAAGCTAGCAAAGGTGGTTACTCTACCTCATTTCTAGAGCCCTTCATTTCAAGTAACCATCTTCACTCTCTATTTACCTTATTGCACCCCCTATCTTTACATGTCTCTAAACTATCCTAATATTGTTGGGACAGTCTCAATTTTGAGGTCCTTTCCCACTTTTCTGACTTTTTTCCCCCCAGTATCCCACTTTTGGGGACACCAGGTTAATTTCAAATTGTGATGGATATCATTAGGTGTGCTCGCACAACATGCTTTAGGACTCTGCAGAGAGCAGTGAAACAGTGCTTCCTGCATGGCCTGCCCTCAGTGATCTGAACTGCTTAATTGGCTGTCAGCCTGGCTTGTATAGACACCCGGCTGAACTGGCACTAATTTGGTCATGTCTGCCCCCTTTGTGGGTCCCACTACGCTGCAGCCCTCACATATACATTTTACTTATCTGATTTCTAGCTCCCCTATCTCATCTCTTTGGGATAGAACCTACAGTGACCACTGAGTTGTATAGTTATAATATATTTACACCCACAGCACTAAAGATAATCTCAAAATATCCATCCTGTTAAGTTACTTCGATGATTATTGTGATGTTTTGTGGTCTTGAAATCCTCTATGTAACTTGATTAATTAAAAAGCAAAATTGATCATTTTTGCTTCTCATTATGCTTCCTGGATTTTGAGGAGACTGGGCTAGAATGGGGTGTGCCTGTGGAATGCACATGACAGATGTGATAATGTCAGATATATTAGGTTCTCCAGGTGCAGAAGCTCATTTAAATTCTGCTTTGCAGAGTAGAAGTGCATTTAATGACACTCTCCAATGCAGCATGCCAGATAAAAAAAAAAAAAAAAAAAGACAGAGGTTCAAAATTAGGTCTTGCTCTTGCCAGATCCTGATCACATATCCTTTTTAATTGCAATAAAAAACAAAACTAAGCATGAGCTTAGACTCTAACAAGGTCTGAAGAAAGCGTAAACATATTGCATTGTATGTAGGTTGCAAGACTGAGGAGTTTATTCTCTAAAAATGAAAATGACAATATAACTGTTATGTTTTAGCTAAACAAATTGAAAACATTTTCAGTTTCACTATTTTGACCTAGACTTTACTATTTACTTATTACTTCTCTACAATGAATGGTGTTTATGATCTTGAGAAAATTTGGCCTTAGGAAATCTTTGTTTGATTTTTAGCTGAGCCATTAACAAGCTTATTTTGCTGCCTCTATTGTATTTGTTGTAGAATCAGTGAAATCTACTGAAAAAATGTTTAACCCCTTATGGACCAGGCCAATTACCTATGTCATGACTAATTGTCACCACAACAAAAAAAACCCACTTGGCAGAGAAAGGGTGGAACAATAATCTATCTTTTAAAAAAAAATAAAAGTGTTCCAATCTCTATGTAAGGTAAAACAGAAAAGAAAGACTACATTAAAAAAATACTTTATTTTGGATGGTACACGCAATTTCTGATCTTTTAGAGTATAACATTTTATCTCTACGTTGTGCTTGTAGAATTGCTAGCAAATGTATAGATTTGTACAAAAACATTTTTAACCCCTTAAGGACACATGACGTGTGACATGTCATGATTCCCTTTTATTCCAGAAGTTTGGTCCTTAAGGGGTTAAAGGATCACCCTAGCATGAGAAACAGAAACGTATTTCACAATACATGTATTATACTAACAATTTAGATTATCGGGTTACCCTTAATTAAGTTGAAAAAAAGCTCTTTTCTCCTTGCAGTTGCTTTGCTTCTACTGGCTGAGAACATTAATACTGATAATCTCAGCCAATCCAATGCTTTCCCATAGGGAAGCAGAGGAAGGCTAGTATGTATGTTCAGCAATTACCTCGCTGCGCCAATCAACATCTCCTCATAGAGACGCGTTGACTCTCTCTGCATCTCTCTGTGGAGCATTCATTGCAATCATTGCAGGACTGCAACCATGAAGCCCCTGTATAAGTGGCATTAGGTAACAAAGTAAACTCAGCCTTTTCTCAGAAAATATAGTGTTTTATAGCCAGACAGTGCTAAAACTGTTCTTTTTTACACACTATCGGATTTTCAGCTGTCTCATGATCTTGACACTACACGTTTTTTTTAATGTCTGAAGACATATTTTTATGGTAAATATCCACAGTAACGCAGGAGCTGTTGAAGCTAAAGTCCCATGCTCACACATTGCAATAGGCCCTTTCTGCTGATTTATTTTGTATCTTTTTTTTGCAGTCTGCTGCTGCCCTATAATTCAGGTAGTAACACCTTGCTCTCCCAGTGTATTTCTCTGTGCTTCATCTTATTTGTATTTATGCATGAGTTTGGAAATGCATATGGCCGGCCTGCCACATGACATCATCCTTACCCATAAAGCAGGCATGCTACTTAGAGGCTGCTTATACACTTGTCCAATCATGGCTGCCCATACTCCAAGTGCTATTTAATTGGTTAAACACATGCTTGCGATACACTTTCCCTTCTGTACAAGGTACAAGGTTGCAGAACTGGGCTGTTGGGTGATTGGGAGGACTTTGAATGGAGCTGTTCAATACATGTCTGCAATGCATAGCTGCAGACAGAGGTTATATACATGCCCTTCTAAGTGGATGAGACCAAAAAGCTAAAATCAGATTTCAAAACAAGGCCTAACGGAATCTTTAGCTTCAGCCCATGAAGCCCCTAATTCAGCTCTGTTTTATACTAATTTGATTGCTCTATATTCACCACATATACAGGCAACCTACATGTCAGAATTAAACCAACCACAAACAGAAAAGTTCAATTGACGCTGTAGGGGATCACAATAACTGTGAGTTTATTTATTTTTATAGGATGTCTGACAGCCATTAGTAAGAAACATGTTACCGGTGAGCATTCTTTGTTTAGTTTATGTTAAAACTGCAAAAGATTATTCCCCACTGTGAGAATTATTTTGTTTGTTTTGGAGGAAAAAGACTGTATATTTTGATTTACATAAGATGAAAGGGCACTTGCGGGGGGCAGAGCTTGACAGCTGTGCTGAGCAGAAGCCATCTTGTGTAACTCCAATGCCATATGCTTATTTTTTTTTTTTCAGAAAACGGACAGATAGTGGCAATTTTTTTTTTATTCTAACCTGCCAAAACCTGCAACTGAATGGCTTAAAGGACCACTATAGGCACCAGACCACTTCAGCTTAATGAAGTGGTTTGGGTGCCAGGTCCATCTAGGATTAACCCTGCCTGCTGTAAACATAGCAGTTTCAGAGAAACTGCTATGTTTACAAATGAGTTAATTCAGCCTCTAGTGGCTGTCTCATTGACAGCCGCTAGAGGCGCTTCCGCGCTTCTCACTGTGATTTTCACAGTGAGAAGATGCCAGCGTCCATAGGAAAGCATTGAGAATGCTTTCCTATGAGACTGGGTGAATGCGCGCGTGGCTCTTGCGGCAGAAGATTCCCCCGAAGATTCCCCGGCGCTGGAAAAAGCTAAGGGATTAACCCCTTCCTCACCCGAGAGCCCGGCGGGAGGGGGACCATATAGAGCCAGGAAAACGAGTATGTTTTCCTGGCACTATAGTGGTCCTTTAAGCTGCTGATTGAAGCCATTTTTATATCCACCAGCCGTAAACCGGCAGCGCAAGAAGAAAGGGGTCTAGTAGTATGAAACCACGTGCAGCAAGCATGTGTGCAGACTTTCTCCATGATTAATTCACCCCCATTGGGGCTTAATATCTTACCAGTCACACTGATCATTATTATGTTATTATTTATATACAGCGCCATCAAATTCCTCAGCGCTTATGGTTTGGCGCTCTCAGAAATTTGCAGCAGTTCCGCCGACAGACTACTGTGACATTGGGACTCTACTTCAGCGACAGCCACAGCCTAAACAGTCTTTGTCCCCTGTTGAGGAATCACCTCTCTCTACCCTGGAGGATGGCTCCCTTCACACAGAATCTCCAACACTTACCTCGCTGGCTCGTTCAGAAAGCGACACACCTGCAGCAAAGGGGTTATTTAAGGCTTGCTGTCCAAAATAAAATCACTATTTGCTGCAGACTCTACTATGATTTTAACAGAGGTTCAAGCGGTCACTGATAGAATTCAAGTCAATGAAGAAGACATACTGGTACTGCACCAACAGGATACCTAGCTATAGAATCACATTCCCACGTGCAAACTTAGCAATTGGAGCTGACCCTTAGATTAGACTCTGGATGACAAATACAGAAGGCACATTATTAAGATAGAAGGTTTTTCTGAAATAGTAGTGACTGAGTAGCTCTTTTTAGGAGACTGCTCGCCTTCATCTTACCACCTAAGCAAGCTAAAACATTGACATTTGATGGTGCATATAGAACAAGTAAATCAACAATGGGCCCTACATCTGTTGTCACTTTATTCTAAACAAAGGTTGCCTAATGTCTGCCTTTTAGGGGAAAACTCTGTTTACCTTTGAGCCCAGCTACTTTACAACTATGTACCACTGTTCTGCCATATCACTGGTCTGCTCCAAGAGCACTGCCTGTCCAAAAGAATGGGACACTTCATAGATTTCATTCTGTAGCAGAAGGTACACCAGTTCTCGGTATGATGATTGACATAGGAACTCCTCCGACCTCAACTGAGCCATTCTGCTTGTGGGATGCCCAAAATGTGGTTCCCTCCGTCCCGACACTGGGACAGGATACTGGATACTGGATAATGGCAGCAGGCTTTATTTACATATAGGCTTGCGCTCTATATGTAACATTTTATTTTGTTCCAGTTATTCTCATTTATGTTTTAATGTTTATTCCATGCTCCTAGATAATTTCTGGATCTGTATAATCTATTAAAAGGCTTAGTGGTATACACTCCCCTTTCCTGCCCCTCTGTGATTCCCTGTAGTTAGGGGCTCTCTTATTACTAATTGAGCCTGCAATACTGAATGTCTCCCTACCGAGTATCTTAAGTAGTTAGCCTCTGCAGAGTTAATGATATCCCGCTTGGGCTTAAAGCACCCTTGCTTGTGTTTCACCCCAATGGTCACTGATATGCAACTGGTTCTCTAAACTATGGAGCAAGTGCAGGTTCATAGTTATTTTCCTATGAGGGTTTTCTCAGCAAGGCTTTCTTTACCTTAAAGGGACACCGTAGGCACTGTATCTGCTTCATCTCATTAAACTGGTTAAAATGTCTGGAGTCCTCTGGTCCCATCATTTCTATCAGCATTAAACAGTTTTTAAAGTTTTAATGTTTTAATGCTAAAGAAGAGTCCCCGGCAATCCATCACCTCTGTGCTGCTTTGGCTAATAAGGAAGTATTAGCCTGAGCAGCAATGGGCAGCTGTGATTGACTGAGAGTGTCAGCTGACTGCTTTTAGCCTGTCAGAGTTCCAAATGACGGTATGAATGGGTATGACAACAAGGAAGTGTGTAATCTCTGCCTTAGCTACACATTCTGAAGGGGCCGGATTGTGGGTGGCCAGGGACTCTTATTTTGTGGCATACTGCTTGAACATGGTGCAACACTGAACGGAGGGACAGTGCCAGGGTACTCCAGGCACTATAACTAATTCAAAGAGATGAAATGCTTATAGTGACTACAGTGTCCCTTTAATTTGTATATTATGTATAATATAAAAGAGATAGTAATTACATGTCAGATCTTATACTATCACAATATAGAATCCTAGAGTGTCCCGCAGAATCTTTAAAAGTTTAATGTAATTTAAAAAAAACTGGAGTAATCACTTACTAGGCTTACCTATTTGTGTAATAACTGTCTACAACCAATCATTGTGGCTCAAACCACTCTATGTCCTCATATGTAGTGCGATTGCCTGTGACTCATAACCCTATCTAATTAATTTCATGTATGGAATCTTCTTATTGTTGTGATCATACCTTAATAAAAAAAATTGATTGACAAAACCTCTAGGTCTTTGTCAATCTATTTAATGCCTCCCTACTGTACCGTTTTAGGCGGGACATCCCTGTTTTTATCCCAACTTAATTCCCTAGTGCTCCACGTTTGAGTACACCCAACAAGCATATCATGAGCACATTATTAAATGTGTTTTCACTATGTTCAGGGCAGTAATACCCTGCAGTAATTTGACTAGACCTGCCCCTTTTTTAGGCAGAGCTAATGATGGGACCCACCCCCTATACAAACCTCCCACCAGACTCCACTTCATGGTTAAACTGATTGAAAAGGTTTAACTCATGATGGTAATAAAGTGAAAGGGTAATGTGGACAATTAAACCACTTAATCGACATCTGTTCCATTAAGTATTTGGACATTCTGCAATATAATTTCAATAATATTGTTTATGTAGAATTTTGCACAATGACTTCACAGATTGATACCATGTGGTTCAGTACATGCACAGTGCAGCCACTCACTGGTACCACATGCTTTAGTATGTATGCAATGTGCTCAAGCAAAGCCTTTGAAAGAGACAATTTTCTCAAAAAGATGCATGATCTTTAAACCGCCCCACCTCCAAAATAATAATTAAAAAAAAACCTTACCGTTTAACCCTTTCAGGACGGAGTCAATAGTACACGTTCTGATCAAAACAAAATGTAAACAAACACTGGTATTTGCGCTATATGTCTGTTCAACCGTAATTCACCTCTTTCATATTAAGTGCACCCACACTTATTATATATCTTTTTGTTCAGGAGAAACTGGGCTTTAATTTCTCATGAACTATTCATATTTGAAACATAATTTATTATGAATAAAATTTCAAAAACTGAGCAATTAAGATTTTTAAAAAATTTGTAGACATTTTAGATGTAATTGTCATAATACCGTTAGCTTTAACTGCAAAAAAAAATACCCCACATGTTTGGATTCAGCAAAGTGTCTCAAGTACAACAGTTCTCCCCATTAACAGTTTTTACAGTGTTTTGGAAAGTTAAAGGGTCAAATATAGCACATTCCATTTTTCAGTTTTTTCAAATTGAAATTTGCCAGGTTGGTTATGTTGCCTTTGAGACCATGTGGTAGCCCAGGAATGAGATTTACCCCCATGATGGCATACCATTTGCAAAAGTAGACAACCCCAGGTATTGCAAGTGGGGTATGTGTAGTCTTTTATAGTAGCCACTTAGTCACAAACACTGGCCAAAGTTAGCGTTTATATTTGGTTTTGTGTGAAAAAAGCAAAAAAACTAATATTTGGCCAGTGTTTGTGACTAAGTGGCTACTAAAAATGACTGGACATACCCCATTTGCAATACCTTGGATTGTCTACTTTTTCAAATGGTATGCCATCATGGGGGTTATTCTCATTCCTGGGCTACCATACGGTTTCAAATGCAACATAACCAATCTGGCAAATTTCAATGTGAAAAAAATGAAATGCAAGCCTTATATTTGACTCTCTAACTTTCCAAAACACCATAAAATCTGTACATAGGGGGTACTGTTATACTTGGGAGACTTCACTGAACACAAACATAAGTGTTTCAAAACAGTAAAACATATTACAACAATAATATTGTCAGTAAAAGAGCCGTTCGTGTATGAAAAATGCAAGAAACTTCACTTTTACTAAATATATAATCATTGTAATACAATATATCATTTTGAAACACTAATATTTGTGTTCAGCGAAGTCTCCCAAATAAAACAGTACCCCCCATGTACAGGTTTTATGGTGTCTTGGAAAGTTACAGGGTTAAATATAGCGCGTGTGATCTTAATTCTCTGCACTTGCTGCCTGGGTTGTCAGGCACGTCAATCAAATTTTAATTAATTAAATCACATAATTATGTTTAAATATTACTTAAGCATAAACGTATAATTTTTATATATATATATATATATATATATATATATATATATATATACATATATATGTATTTAAATTCTATGTGTATACTTATGTAGTTATTTATGTAATTATATATAAATATTTGCAGTTATTTGTATTTTATATATAGATATATATATAGAATGTCATTCTAAATGTATTTTGTTACCAATATATATGTATTAATAACAAAATACAGTTAGAATGAGATTACATATGTATATATAATTTATTTAAATTTTTAAAAAATATTTATTTATTTTATTATTTTATTTATTTACTATTGTAATTATACGTATATATAAACATAAAATATATATATATGTATTATATATACAATATATATCTTATATATGTAACGTCATTCTAAGTGTATTTTAAGATTAATATATGTACTTATATTAACATTAAAATACATTACGTATCACGTTACATATATATATATAAGATGTATATATATTAGATATATAATATAAATATTTTATATATATATATATATATATATATATATATAAATACTTTGATTTTAACGTGTAATAATATTTTTTATTATTCTTCCCACCAGCAGGGGGACTGTCTGACAGCTCAGACAGCCCCCCCTGCTGGCAGATCCACAGCAAGCTATAGGGGGCCATGTGATTACTCTTTGAGAACGATCACATGGCCGCCGGGGGAGGGCTGCCTGGGCTGTCAGGCAGCCCTCCTGAAGAGGATCGCGGCGGAGGTGAGTACTGCTGAGCTCCTGGTGGTGAAAGCCGTTACGGCGTACTATGCCGCCGCAACGGCTTTAAAGCCCATTATAATGGTGACGGCATAGAACGCCGTAACGGCGTTAAGAGGTTAAATATGATAAAAATGCCTATATAAACACAATATAGAATGTTTGTGTATGTGTAAATGTCAAAGTGCATGTTACCATGGAGTGCCAAGTTAAACTTGCAAAGGCTGAAGACAAGAGATCTGCAGCTTCTACAAGTAATTTTTAGATATACGTCCAATGACAAATGTATGAAAAACCAAGAAAAATGCATGCATGCTTTTCAGTGAGAGTATATTTACTAAATAGTGATTTAAAAACATATATATTTTTTTTGGGCAGTGAAGTGTTCCTTTCATTGCTGCAACATTCTCTTCCCTAACAAACAACTGACTGAGCTTCAGTCTATACGAAATGCTGCATTCCAACTCCCGTTTCTCAGCCGTGGTTCCTTTTCTCCTTCTCAACACTACTACCCCTTTCACTGACTCACAATCTAATTGTGGATACATTTTAATTACTAAAATTATTGGTGTGGTTTAAGCTATAAACAAACTTATACCAATAAGTGGACCGCTCCAACACAAATACAGCTTACCGAATAATATTTCATTCAATGGCGAAGTATATAGTACATGCAGAAAAAAAATACAAGGAATACAATATAGTGCAGACGATATGGGAAGTGATAATATAATAGTTGTAATGGTATTTAAATAAAATGAACACTCACATTTTTAGGAGCCTGTATATAAAAACACTGGCTCCGTATGATGGCTTTTGTGCTTGTTAGGGTAGCACCACCCGTCTCCTTCAGTGTGGGATAATTCTCAAAGACAAAAAACAACAAGGGAGAGCAAACCAATGTGTAGAAAGTGCTGTATGGAAAACACAATATGATGGAGATAAGTGGTGTGCTCACCTGGTCCTGAGCCTGTGGGTCCCGGCTCTAGGTATATGGGTTTTGTGTCAATTTAAATGGGGATGACACTGCCCCTAGGAAGATTCTCTTGAGGTTTCCAAGGAAGGACTTGAAAAGGATCTTTAATAAAAATAATGTATTTATTTAAGAATAAAGTAAATAAAAACAATAGTAGTAAAAAGTTGACTTGCGGTAAGGCCGGGGAGTCAGGGAACTTCCGGGCGGAGGCGGAGTGACGATCACGTGGGTCTGTGACGTCACTTCCGCCAACCACCCGGACACATGCGGACTACTTCCGCCAACCAACCACGATCCACCAATGAAAATGGACCATAATAAAGGCACCAGAAACCCGGCCAAATCAAAGGGAGACACACAAATTTTGTTTTATGAGGGACATGTAACCTCCATCACCATTGGAGGAAATGGACTACATTCATTAAAGGGGAGGACCCTAGAAACGCTTAAAATGGAAGATTCAGAGGACCATCATCACAGCTGACTGAGGAAGCTCCACAGAAGGAGTGAAACGCGTATTGGTTACTTTAAAGAGGACTTTTTATAAGGACTTTTTACTACTATTGTATTTATTTACTTTATTCTTAAATAAATACATTATTTTTATTAAAGATCCTTTTCAAGTCCTTCCTTGGAAACCTCAAGAGAATCTTACTAGGGGCAGTGTCATCCCCATTTAAATTGACAAAAAACCCATATACCTAGAGCCGGGACTCACAGGCTAAGCACACCACTTATCTCCATCATATTGTGTTTTCCATACAGCACTTTCTACACATTGGTTTGCTCTCCCTTGTTGTTTTTTGTCTTTGAAAATTATCCCACACCGAAGGAGACGGGTGGTGCTACCCTAATAAGCACAAAAGCCATCATACGGAGCCAGTGTTTTTATATACAGGCTCCTAAAAATGTGAATGTTCATTTTATTTAAATACCATTACAACTATTATATTATCACTTCCCATATCGTCTGCACTATATTGTATTCCTTGTATTTTTTTCTACATGTACTATATACTTCGCCATTGAATGAAATATTATTCGGTAAGCTGTATTTGTGTTGGAGCGGTCCACTTATTGGTATAAGTTTGTTTATAGCTTAAACCACACCAATAATTTTAACCTTGTTTTGTGGAATAGAGGATACTTCCACATAAGTGTACTGAGCAGCCTGTAAACCACCTTATTTGTTTAAAAGCACTGTGTCATACACACCCCTCTGTAAAAGGAGATAATCTTTGATTGGTATTCATAGACATTTTAATTACTGTCTGACTTACAAAGTTATCCACAATGTAGATCCATTTTATGTTTTATGCTTTTCTGCGCTTTTGACCTCAAACTCTCCTCCACAATAACAAGTCACAAATACTCCTCCTCTTCCTGAGCTATGCCGTATCTTTGGAATTTACTCGTATATGAAATTTGACTCTTTCCCTTACATATCAAACACTCTTTCGAAACAAAAGATTTAAAGAAAAAAAAAAAAGCATTATCCTATTCCCACATTCCTTTTTTTCCTCTCAATTTTTATTTTCTTCCTTCTCTTTTCTCCTCTAACCCTTTCCTTTCTTTGAATCCCTTCCTAACACCAATTTAAAAAATAAAAACTTGTTTGGAGATTTGACCGTTATTAACCTTTGAAACTTTTTTCTCCTCAAATTTTCCCTATTTTGATATACCACTGGGTTTACATTCTTATTTATACATTCTTCATATTCCATGTCATTAGTGTTTCTTGTATGCCGCCATCTCAATAAAATGACAAATGCAAAAAAAAAACACATGCTTTAAAAATGTAAATTAAATACAAGCAATAAAAACGTCACCTCCAAAGTTTCTTTTGATTCACTGCCCCCGGTTCGAGAGAAACTCTTATGATATTAGCACATCAAAAGTTTATGAGATAAGTGGTGTTTCCCAATAGGAGTTCCACGTGTGTTTTAATTTGTAAGCTGATGGCAGCCACACTGCAGCTGTTGTCAGTTTACATATAAATACCAATTGAACAAAGAAGGTTCAGGCCCTCCAATGCTCTATAGCAGGCTTCCTCAAACTTCCCCCAAAATAATAATGCACAATAATGAAAAAGAATGCCCATATTTCGCGTTCTGTTGCTATCCCTAAAGAGGAAAGACGTCCAGGGCACGTCATCGGTGTGTCCAGCATCTCACGTCAATGTGCAAATGACATCATTGCGCAAATTTGAAATGCATGTGACATCATAGCGCAGAGAGGCAAATATGCCTTCAGATCCAGACAGGCACTAATGAAAAAAATGCCCACAAGGGGTGGAATAAAAGGCAAATGTTGATTTACATATTGCCAACCAATTCCATTAACCAAGTAATTGAAAATGATTTTGCCAACCACTTACCAAAGGAAAAATGATGTAAAAAATATAACCATCAAATAGGCAGATGGTAAAAATATATGTTAAAAGATCACTATATTCATATTTAATAATAAAATGTTTTTATGTAAAAAGACTTATAATAAAGTGAAAGCACTTCACAAAAGTGCTAATACATAATATGTCCTAAAATAATAGATGTAATATAAGCTAAAGTGCTATATGTAAGCAAATGTTTAACATATTATGATTATAGTGCAATAAAGATAATTCAATTGGCATGATTATTTAAATTGACAGTGCAACCGAAAACAATGATAAAAATGATTGTGACTATATGTGCAAAAAACAAAAAAAACAACAGGGATACAAGATGACAAACATTCAAAAAAGAATAGATTACTTAAAGGACCGCTATAGGCACCCAGACCACTTCAGCTTAATGAAGTGGTCTGGGTGCCTGGTCCAGCTAGGGTTAACCCTTTTTTTTAATAAACATAGCAGTTTCAGAGAAACTGCTATGTTTATAAATAGGTTAATCCAGCCTCTAAAGCCTCTAGTGGCTGTCTCATTGACAGCCGCTAGAGGCATTTGCGTGCTTCTCACTGTGAAAATCACAGTGAGAAGTCGCAAGCTCCTGCCGCGCATGCACATTCAACTGAAGAGGAGGAGAGGAGGGAAGAGGAGGAGGAGAGCTCCCCGCCCGGCGCTGGAGAAAGAGGTAAGTTCAACCCCTTCCTCCCCCCAGAGCCCGGCGGGAGGGGGTCCCTGAGGGTGGGGGCATCCTCAGGGCACTATAGTGCCAGTAAAACGAGTATGTTTTCCTGGCACTATAGTGGTCCTTTAAGTGTTACTTGATATTAAAGGATCACTATAGTGTCAGGAAAACAAACTTGTTTTCCTGACACTATATAACCCTTAGGTCCCCCCCTCCTGCTGGGCTGAAGGGGTTAAAACCCCTTCAGCTACTTACTTTAATCCAGTGCCCGGGCTCCCACGGCATTGGTGACCTCTCCTCCCCCTCCGACATCATCTCCCGAGTGGAGCGGTATGCCAGAGCCGCGCGCGCTTTAAAAATGCCTATAGGAAAGCATTTCTCAATGCTTTCCTATGGACGTTCTGCACACTGGATGCGAATTTCGCATCCAGCTTCACAGATGCGCCTCTAGCGGCTGTCAGGAAGATGGTCGCTAGAGGCTGGATTAACCCTGCAATGTAAACATAGCAGTTTCTCTGAAACTGCTATGTTTACATCTGAAGGGTTAAAACCTGGGGGACCTGGCACCCAGACCATTTCATTGAGCTGAAGTGGTTTGAGTGACTATAGTGGTCCTTTAAGTTATATAAGATCCCCGTGGGAGGCCAATATTATGTTGTGTGATATATAACCACACCAATGGATAAAAAAAAAAATCTGTAAAAAAAAAATGTTTCCATCAAGTTCCGCCTTCTTCACATTAGTTTTTTTGCTGTTGATCCAAAAGAAGGCAAAAAAACCCAGTTTTAACAACTTCCAATTTTGCAATAAACTAGAAAAAAAATTACCTCTTTATTATTATTATTGTAATTTATAAAGCGCCAACAGATTGTGTAGCGCTTTACAATATTATAAGGGGGGGGGGGAATTTAACTGTAAAGAGGACAATTACAAAAAACCTACAGGAACGATATGTTGAAGAGGACCCTGCTCAAACAAGCTTACAGTCTTTAGGAGCTGGGGTATAAAACACAATAGGACAGGAGATAGCAATCAAATAAGGTGGGAGTGAAGCAGAGCTGGAGGAGAAAGTAGAGTGCTGCTCTTTAGGAGAGAGCAAGTGACAGGTATGTGAGGTAGGGATTACTCTGGAAGGCCATAAGCGTTGATCAATAGATAGGTTTTAAGGCACTTTTTAAATGATTAAAGACTAGGGGAGAGCCTAATGGTGGTAGACCGGCTATTCCATAGGAAGGGAGCTGCCTGCGAGAAATCCTGCAAGCGTGAGTTGGCCGTACAGGTGCAAGAAGCGGACAGGAGAAGGTCATGGGCAGAGCGGAGAGACCGAGAAGGGGCATACCTATAGATCTGTGAGGAGATATAAGAGGGGCTAGAATTGTTCAATGCTTTATAGGTATGGATTCAGGGCCGGACTGGGAAGATAATTCGGCCCGGGCATTTTTTAATTACAGCGGCCCACTACAAAGGGGGCGGGGCCAGATAGGGTGTGTGCTGTGCATGTCAGGGGTGCAGTGTGTGGGTGCTGTAAGTGTTAGGGGTGCAGTGTCTGTGTGTGTCTGTGTGTGTGTGTGTGAGGGTGCTATAAGTGTTAGGTGTGCAGTGTGTGTGTGTGAGTGAGGGTGATGTGAGTGTGTGTGTGTGTGTGTGTGCTGTGTCAGGGGTGCAGTGTGTGTGAGTGAGGGTGCTGTTCATGTCAGGGGTGCAGTGTGTGTGTGTGTGTGTGCTGTGAGTGTCAGCGGTGCAGTGTGTGTGTGCTGTGAGTCTCAGGGGTGCAGTGTGTGTGTATGTGAGGGTTCTGTAAGTGTTAGGTGTGCAGTGTGTGTGTGTGAGTGAGGGTGATGTGAGTGTGTGTGTGTGTGCTGTGTCAGGGGTGCAGTGTGTGAGTGTGAGGGTGCTGTGCATGTCAGGGGTGCAGTGTGTGTGTGGGTGCTGTGAGTGTCAGTCAGGGGTGCAGTGTGTGCTGTGAGTGTCAGGGGTGCAGTGTGTGTGTGTGAGTGTCAGGGGTGCAGTGTGTGTGTGTGTGTGTCAGGGGTGCAGTGTGTGTGTGTGAATGAGGGTGCTGTGAGTGTTAGGGGTGTCTGTGAGGCTGATGTTAGTTAGGTGATTATTTCCCCCCCCTCCCTGCTTACCTTTAGCCTGGGAGGGGGATCCTGCTGCTGGGGCTTCCATCCATCCCTGGTGGTCTTAGTGGTGAGTGAACTCTAGCCTGTGAGGCTAGAGTTCACTCTCGAGAGAGCGTTGCCATGGCAACGCTCCGAATCTCGCGAGAGGAACCCGGCGGAGCTGTTAGTTAAAGCTCCGCCGGGTTCCTCTGCTGGCAGGCTGGCTCCCTCCCTCTCTCCCCCGGCGGCCGCACTATCCTGCATGTGGGCCGGTGGGGAGATCTCTGATCTCCTCCATGGACTACTGCAGGGCCGGCGTTCAGATAGCGCCGGCCCTGCAAAGACCGGCAGGAGAGATCCTGTGATCTCCCTGCCGGCCTCGGCCCCACGGCCACCGCGGCCCACCGGGCATTTGCCCGGTGTGCCCGATGGCCAGTCCGGGCCTGTATGGATTAGTATGTTGAATTGAGTCCTACAGAATACAATTCAAAGTACTAATCCATACCTACCTCTTGACCCCAGGATGGCAGTCAGATTTATCCTTGGATCAAGAAGCTATTACCCTACAGTTAAAAAATTAAATAACTGAATATTATGTTTTTGCAAGAATGCATCAGGTTGCTGTTTAAATATCTGTACAGATTGTGATAAAATTACTTCTTCAGGCAGAGAATTCCACATCCTTATTGTTCTCACGGTTAAAAAAAAACAGCCTTTTCTTTGCCTTAGACTAAATCTTCCTTCTTCCAGTCTAAGCGCATAACCTTGTGTCCTATATATAGTCTTGTTTGTGAATCGATTTCCACACAATGGTTTGTATTGGCCCCTGGATATATTTGTATTATGTTATCATACCCCCTCTGAGGCAAAGTTTTTCCAAACTAAAGAGGTTTGAATTTGTTAACCCCTTAAGGACCAAACTTCTGGAATAAAAGGGAATCATGACATGTCATGTGTCCTTAAGGGGTTAACCTTTCTTCATAGCTGAAATGTTCCATTCCTTTTTATTAATTTTGTAGCCGCCTCTACACTTTTTCTAATGCCATAATATCCTTCTCCAGAACAGGTGCCCAAAATTGCATAGCATATTCAAGATGTGGTCTTACCAGTGATTTATAAAGAGGCAAAATTATATTCTCATCCCGAGAATGAAAGCCCTTTTTGATGCATGACAATACCTTACTGGCCTTAGCCACTTACTGATTGACATTGCAAATTGTTGCATAGTTTGTCTATAACAATTCAATTCCCAAATCCTTCTTGTGTGTTGTTATCCCTAATTTGCTTCTTATATTAGAGTAAAATCAAATACTCAGAATAACGAAATTGTCATATTTGTGATTAAGACCCTTAAGATATAAAGTATCAAATTCGCGTATCCAAAATCCCTCATGTAAAAGCAACGTCTTGATCCTGTCTCCTCTCCTAATGCTCTTGATCACAAGTTCTATCATTTGAAATTTTAATTGAGACACACTGTGACGAGCTTCTGCAAAGTGAGCTATTAAGGGTAACTTTACCAATCCAGTTCTAATTGTTGAAAATCTTTCCTTCATTTTTTGGCTTGATTGCCTCACATACAACAAGCCACAGGGACATTTAAGATGACATGAGTTGTGTTAACTGACTGATAAAATATTTTTTACCACTATGCAGGTGATAAAAAACAGGTCCCTGGATCATCGTTTGCACAATGATGTCATGCGCATTGCATATATGTACAGTGGCGTTATTTGTGTATCGATGTCAGGTGTGAATGCACCGAGGACGTGCCCAGGACATCGTGCCTCTTTGAGGATAGCAAAAGAACATGAAATATGGGCGTTTTTTTATTTTTTGATTATTGTGCATTATTATATTTATTTTGTCCTAGCTGACAACCATACTGCTTTTTGAACTTGCACACATGGAACAAATTAACAGACAGCACTAACAAACAATCCTAAAGTACTAAACTGTTTAATTAATGTCCAATCAATTTCTTCCCTGATTGCTTTATTGTACACTTTTATCTCACTGCCTATAAATTATTTGCAAACAGTGGTTGTGAATTAGCTTGACAAAGAAATGTTGCGGTGTTCACCTTGTTCCAATAAATGTGCCTTTGAGCATTGGAGTGGCTGGATTTTTTTTCTTGGGACTTGGTTTGCTTAACTGACCTTTCTGAAGGGCAGGCTTAGACCTGCATTGCTATTCTGCAAATTGCTATAGCTCTAAGCCACTGTCAAGGCTGAAAGGTAGTGCAAAGTGCTCTTCTTGATATCAATATTCTTGTTGCAAACTTGGAAATTGCTTCTCTTTTTTTTATCGACAGCAGAAACAGATTTATAGAAAGTGGAACTTAATGGCCTTGTGTCTTTTTCTCAACCTATCACTGATATATACCTGTGTTAATATTACAGTTATGCAGACTTGTTTTAACTATATCAAAATATTGGTTAAGTCAGAATATACATAGAATTTTATTCACTGAGTAGTAAATTGTGGCCATTGTACCTACTTCCTTGGAGTTTCACGTTTCAGAAGAGATTATCCAGATTAACATTACTGTCAACAGCTAAGACTTGAGTGATTTCTTACAATGTGCAAAACTTCAGGGTTATTAATGAGAGTTTTCAAAGTACACTAACATGGCTTTGTGAATGAGAGATTTAATGTGAGTGAATGATTGGAGATAAGGAAACGTATAGGTTTCCAATGTTTTTTATTATTATTATTTTTTAATTAAACATCTGTTAAGTTTTTTCATTTTGGTTTTTATTTTCGTTGTAGACTTCAGAAGTCATACAACAATAATGTGATGGCAATTGATTGTCAGTATGCTAAAGGTTGCTTTGTTGGATGCAAATTAATGAGATGACCCCTTTTAGGGTAAAGGTGGCTATGATAAATACTACGGTGTTTTGATAATGTCACTGCTTACTAATTGTTTTTTGTTTGTTTTTTTAAATGCCCAGCTTAAAGGTTTTTGGTCTGGTCATACTACTACATAGAGCAATAGTGTATTGTGTCCAAGTCCCATCAATATAGCATGTTATTGGAGAACATGACTAGAGCATCTGCATCTTAGCCCGTTAAGGTCCAATGACTATCTGTTCTTTAAAGCTCTTATTCTAAAATAAAATGTTCCACTCACTTAAAAAAGGCTAAATGGAGCTGCCAACACTAAACAAGCAGAACATTCCGTGCTGACATGCTGAAAATATGAATGACAGCAGAATTGAACATTTGATCCTTAACGGGTTAATTTTGGTAGGCTATTTTGAATTTGTGTTTTCGGTAGAGAGTTTAGCAGTGTTTGAATTTACAAGATGAAAGGCAAGGCACTCAGAAACAGTAATACAGAACTAACGCAGTACCTAGGAAAACACATTTTTAGCATTGGTAAGCAAATGCAAAAAAAATTCTATTCCATTAGAAAATACAGCTTTGTTTTTTTTAACTAAAACAATGGCTAAGCAAGTTATTTTCATTTTTTTCAAGTGATTTTTTAAAATGGTGGTAAAGACTGGTAATTCATAGTCCTCTTTTGATTTTAAACCAGGTGGTTCTCAAACTCCGGCCCCCTAGATGTTGCTGAAATACAAATCCCATGATTCTTTCAATTACATAGATAACCAGAGAATCATGGGAGTTGTAGTTCAGCAAAATCTGGGGGGACGGAGTTTGAGGACCCCTGTTCTAAACGAATGCAACACTGGCGATTTGACATATATTGTTCCCTAGTAGACTGGTGAAGTTTAGCATGAGATACTTGCACATACTGTTTTCCTCATACATTCTGGCTAGTATATTATGGTAACAAATCCACAGCATTTTTTTGTTTTGACAGTATGTTTTGGCATGGTCTTTGTTAACTCTGGTGTTTTCTTTTACTTTTCTCTTGTTGCCTTCTAACTGGATGGAATGTTTTCTTTACTGTCATTAATACAGCATCATGCTGAAGGTACAATAACAGCCAGGAAAAACAGTTTGTGAAGTAATAAAAATCCCTGACATTTTGAGTACATCCTGTCCTAAGGTTGAAAGGTCTAAAAAAAATTTTTTTGACTCAACCTGTGTCAAATGATTACTAGACATTATTTTTCAAATCTAACATACATAAAAGAAGGTGGACAGTGCACTTATGTCAAAATAAACAGTGAAATAAATATATTAACACTGTATCAGTGAGTGATAAATGGTGACCACTATACCGTGTTAATATTTATACCACTGTTTATTTCCACATAAGTGCCCCGTCCACCTTCTTTTATGTATATATGATCTTTTGTTGCGGAGAGCTGATATTCCACAGGTTATCTCTACTCAAGATCCCAGGAACAAGTATTAAAAATCCATAAGGCAATAATTCCAGCAGGCAAGACAATCTAATAATATGCCAACATCAATCCCAATGACTGGACGACACACAGCATCAGGAGCAGAACAGAACTTTTAATCACACAACCTTCTTTTAAAGCTTTCTCCCATGCAATGGAGGGATTTACAGTAATACACCAATCATACACAAGTTGCCACCCACACATCCCCTCCCCTTAGTATGACACATAATCCCATTATGCAGGACACAGTTCCCCTTGTTTTCTTGATGTACCCCTAAACATAGGGGTACCCCTTTAAATATTACAGCCCTGATCTGGGTGAGACACATATCCAAAAATCACCCAGATCGGACCAGGGGTTCGGGAAAGACCAACTGCGCTGGGGTTAACAGCCGAAAAGGGTTCCATACATTTTGGCCCTGCGGTCAGTCGCAGAAAAGGGAATGAAACACACGAATGGCTTGGGTTATGAGAACTGGGGAGGATTCGGGTAAATCCCCTTGTTCGTGGGGTTCCTTCTACCGAATGGGGAGGCGTTCGGTAGTTCTTACACGAATTGGTGGCAGTATGGAGGTCGCAGCGGTGTTTGCCTAACCGAGTGTCCGATTTGGGTTCCAGACACTTGACGGCAAAACACCGCTGTTCGGGAGTTTAAGATGGCCGCCGCCATGTGTTCGTCTCCCGAATGGCGGCCACCCAGAGGACAAAGTATTGAATTGCCAATTACCTGTTTGCAACATTTTTTGCGAACGGTAATTGGAGGAACACTTATTCCTGGGGTGGTCTGATTGTTCGGTAGTTTCACTCGCATAATAACTGGAGTGATTTTACCGAACAATCAGACAAATGCTGCATACACTTGACATACACATGGCAAAATAAAACTGAAAACATATGAATATACATAATTCTGAGGACAGCCCAATACCATCCGCTACAGTGGGACTTAGCAGCGCTTCATTTTGTGTTTATAGCTCCTAAATATATTGCAAATGTTTGGTTATATTTTTTTACTATTATAAGAATACATCTATTAAAATAATTTGGGGTTATTTTTACATTTAGCTCAATACTGAGCAATAAAATAACACATATTAATATTGTATTCTCATCTGCTGCATATTAGATCTGTGTTGAATAACTGAGATTGTTTTATAGGAAGAAAAAGAGAATTAACCAACGTTCCAGGGCATAAAGATTGCAACCTTTTATCAAATTATTGCTTGATTTATCCACAATTATTTTATCTGTGTTGCAACTTTTCACGTATGTTGATACAAACTAAATTTTATTTCTTATTCCTTTAGGTCACATAAAATCTCTGCATGTTTTCCCTCTGACCTATTTTCAATTACTTCAGCCTTGTTTGGTAACCTGGTCTTGGTACAGCTTCAGTCCCTGCATCTTGTGCAGTTATGGCTCCTTCACTACAGACTGCATTTCGGCGCCGATGGTGGATTGCATGCACCGCAGTGTTAGAAAATCTTTTCTTTTCTGCAGTCCTATTTGGATGGGGCTCTCTTCTCATCATGTTACAGCGGGAAGGATTCTATTCACACCTCTGTACAGGTATGCCACAATTTCAATTTTTTCAGCTGTTCTTTTTTTAGCTGTTCATGTTGATGCTCATTTCCAACATGCACTCCTGGAGTCATTATTGAAAGCAATTACGACTTAATTGTTGGCCTGTGTTTATATTTAGACCCATAAGTCCTTGGGCAGTGGCACATTTTCATAATCTTTGCTCTGTATGCCACCACATATGTTTAAACCTATAATTTTTGTACATTCTTACTGCATTGCAATAAATGTCCTGCTATTCTAGCAGACTTGCAGCATATTTACATAGTTACATTGTAGTTTAGATTAAAAAAACCCCCACCAAGTTCAACCTTGAAACCCATTTTTATGTAGTTCATTTTAAAGAAGGCAAAAAACTTAATTGTAGCCATTTCCAATTATGCCACAAAAAATTGCTGTAGATCTCATTATGTGATGAGAGCCAATGTTTGCAACAAAAATTTTATTTAGTAAAGAATTGACGCATATTTGTCCAAGGGCTGATCTGGAACTCAATCTCATGAGGTGCGCAGCCAGATTATATTATGGCGGACATTATAGTGGAGCTCCGTAATACTCAAACACACTACATATTACTGTGTAGCTCTGTACTACACTTATATGCACTGCATTTTGCTGCAGAGTTCTCAAAATCAGTCGTAGGCCTGGCGTACTACTGCACAGCTCTGTAATACCCTCACATGCACTAAATATTACTTGGAATTAGAGTGTTGTATGTTCTATAGTATGTAACTCTTTTTAAGCTGTTAAATGCCTTTAATGAAATTGCCCTTCACATAGCAAGGTGACTTGTGGTCTTGTTAATTGCCTTATACATGGATATTCAAATTCCTGAGTGCATTAAATGATGAAAGAGTTTACCTAACGGAGGCTTATCCAAAGTCTCATATTTATGTAATTATTACAACCAAACAGATCCTTGCTATGAATATCTTTGTGCTGCAAAGTCACTGTAATTAAAATTAACCTTTGAAGTCCTGAAATTTTTAATTGAAATGTGCTTGATGTATGTTATAGTTAATCATCTAACAAAATTAAAACAGACTGCTGTGTTGAAAGTGAAAACCTGTAAAAATGTGACTAGTTAATAAAATGTTCTGCATTAAAATTATATATTTCTTTTAATTTTTGAACATTTTTATTTTAAACTTTATTTTAAGCTGTTCCTTCTAACAGCCGTGGGAACAGCCCCTCTAGTACAGGTGGGGTTGAGAGGGTAAGGAAGTCTAGACAGGTTGTGGTGGTAAGGGACTCTATTATTAAGAGAGTAGATAGGGTAATCTGCCACTCTGATCGACTCAACCGGACAGTTTGCTGTCTCCCAGGTGCTCGGGTCCGGCAAATTGCCGAGAGAGTGGAGGGATTATTAGGAGGGGCTGGGGATGACCCAGCTGTCATGGTCCATATTGGTACCAATGACAAAGTCAGAGGAAAATGTAAAGTCCTAAAGAATGAGTTCAGGGAACTAGGAAGTAAGCTAAAGAAAAGGACCTCCAAGGTAATATTTTCAGAAATGTTACCTGTACAGCAGGGAAATTAGAGAGGTCAATGCGTGGTCAATGCGTGGCTGAAGTCTTGGTGCAGGAAAGAGGGTTTTGGGTTTTTAGAGCACTGGGCCGATTTTGCGCTTGGGTACAACCTGTATAGTCGTGATGGATTGCACCTAAACGGAAGAGGGTCTGCTGTGTTGGAGGAGATTTTAAACTAGTAGTAGGGGGGGAGGGTCAAAGCAATCTAGAAAATGGAGATAGGATAGAAAGGAGAAGGGCTTTAGCTCAGAACAAAGGGGGTGGAGATGGGGGAAGGGAAAGCTCAGAACAGAGGAGGTATATAATATTGATAATTCACATAAAGTACAAATGACTCATGATAATATTAAATGTATGCTTACTAATGCAAGGAGCCTATATAACAAAATGGGGGAACTAGAGGCAATAGCATACACTAAACAATATGATATAATAGGCATAACAGAAACATGGTGGGGTGAGACACATGACTGGGCAGTTAACTTAAATGGGTACACGTTATTTAGGAAGGATAGGAAAAACAAGAAGGGTGGTGGGGTATGTTTATATGTCAACCAGGAGTTAAAGTCAAATCTTAGGCATGTGGAGTGTGACGAGGAAAATGTGGAAGCTTTATGGGTAGATATCTGCTTGGGGCAAACAAAGGGAAATCAATTTTGCTCCAATTTATGTTGAACTAAGCTCAGTAAGGTCCGTAAATGTCGCTCTTCGGGTTCATCCCCGTTGTGCCCACATCTATCACGCGTCCTTTAACCATTATCCATATATCTATGTCTCTGTGTGTTCTCACCTCCGTCCCCTAGTCTGTGGCTCTCTTGGCCCAGGTCTCCCACACCTCCCTCTTCCAGGTCTGATGTTTGGACATGGGAACTGTGTGCATCTCGTATCTCCCCACTTGTGAGACATATCTAATCAGTTCCTGCATGGTCGCTGTGGATGTAGAAAGCCAGTTTCTAGCAATGTGGGTCAAGGCAGCTATTTGAATGTGGTATATCAAATATTTGAAAAAGCAGAAATTTTAAATAACCATTTTTCTTCAGTATATACTAATGAGGATCCTATGGCAAGAGATATGCAAATGATTGCTGCAAAAAACTTGCAGATAATTTGTGATTGGATAACTCAAGACAAGGTGCTGCAGCTATTAAAGAAAATTAATGTAAATAAAGCTCTGGGGCCTGATGGTATTCACCCACGAGTACTTAAGTGAACCTCTGTATTTAATTTTTCAAGATTCTTTTGTTTCAGGTATTGTACCGGAGGATTGGAGAAAGGCAGATGTTGTTCCTATATTTAAAAAGGGTTCAAAATCCTTGCCTGGAAATTATAGACCTGTGAGCTTAACTTCTGTGACTGGGAAAATATTTGAATGGCTATTAAGGGATAATATTCAGGAATTCATTGGGAAGAACTTTGTTATTAGCAATAATCAGCATGGTTTTATGAAACATAGGTCATGTCAAACTAACCTAATTGCATTGTACAAAGAAGTAAGTAGAAGTATAGATCGGGGTGTTCCAGTGGATGTGATCTACTTGGATTTTGCCAAGGCATTTGATACGGTTCCTCACAATAGGTTAGTCTTCAAACTAAAAGAAATTGGTCTAGATTAATATTCTTGTTGTTGGATAGAACATCGGCTTAAGGATAGAGTACAACAAGTTGTCATTAATGGTAAATTTTCAGGCTGGACAAAAGTGGTAAGTGGTGTCCCTCAGGGTTCTGTTTTGGGACCGCTTCGATTTAACATATTTATAAATGATCTTGAAATAGGCATTGAAAGCCATGTATCAGTGTTTGCAGATGACACAAAACTTTGTAAAGTAAAACATGTGAGCAGGATATTGCTTTGCTGCAGAGGGATTTGGATAGATTGGGGGACTGGGCACTAAAATGGCAGATTAAATTTAATGTAGAGAAATGCCAAGTTATGCACTTCGGGATTAAGAATGCACAAGCAATTTACACCCTAAATGGTAGTGAATTAGGGATAACCACACACGAGAAGGATTTGGGAATTGTTATAGACAACAAATTAGGCATCAATATGCAATGTCAATCTGCAGTTGCTAAGGCCAGTAAGGTTTTGTCATGTGTAAATAGGGGCATAAATTCTCAGGATGAAAATATAATTTTGCCTCTTTATAAATCACTGGTAAAACCACACCTTAAATATGCTGTGCAATATTGGGCACCTGTTCTAAAGAAAGATATCATGGCACTAGAAAAAGTGCAGAGACGAGTTACAAAATTGATAAAAGGAATGGAGCATTTTAGTTACGAAGAAAGGTTAAAAAATTTAAATCTGTTTAGTTTGGAAAAACGGCACCTGAGAGGGGATATGATAACATTAGACAAATATATTGGGGGCCAGTACAAACCTTTATCTAGAAATCTATTCATAAACAGGGCTATACAGGGAGTGCAGAATTATTAGGCAAGTTGTATTTTTGAGGATTAATTTTATTATTGAACAACAACCATGTTCTCAATGAACCCAAAAAACTCATTAATATCAAAGCTGAATATTTTTGGAAGTAGTTTTTAGTTTGTTTTTAGTTATAGCTATGTTAGGGGGATATCTGTGTGCAGGTGACTATTACTGTGCATAATTATTAGGCAACTTAACAAAAAACAAATATATACCCATTTCAATTATTTATTATTACCAGTGAAACCAATATAACATCTCAACATTCACAAATATACATTTCTGACATTCAAAAACAAAACAAAAACAAATCAGTGACCAATATAGCCACCTTTCTTTGCAAGGACACTCAAAAGCCTGCCATCCATGGATTCTGTCAGTGTTTTGATCTGTTCACCATCAACATTGCGTGCAGCAGCAACCACAGCCTCCCAGACACTGTTCAGAGAGGTGTACTGTTTTCCCTCCTTGTAAATCTCACATTTGATGATGGACCACAGGTTCTCAATGGGGTTCAGATCAGGTGAACAAGGAGGCCATGTCATTAGATTTTCTTCTTTTATACCCTTTCTTGCCAGCCACGCTGTGGAGTACTTGGACGCGTGTGATGGAGCATTGTCCTGCATGAAAATCATGTTTTTCTTGAAGGATGCAGACTTCTTCCTGTACCACTGCTTGAAGAAGGTGTCTTCCAGGAACTGGCAGTAGGACTGGGAGTTGAGCTTGACTCCATCCTCAACCCGAAAAGGCCCCACAAGCTCATCTTTGATGATACCAGCCCAAACCAGTACTCCACCTCCACCTTGCTGGCGTCTGAGTCGGACTGGAGCTCTCTGCCCTTTACCAATCCAGCCACGGGCCCATTCATCTGGCCCATCAAGACTCACTCTCATTTCATCAGTCCATAAAACCTTAGAAAAATCAGTCTTGAGATATTTCTTGGCCCAGTCTTGACGTTTCAGCTTGTGTGTCTTGTTCAGTGGTGGTCGTCTTTCAGCCTTTCTTACCTTGGCCATGTCTCTGAGTATTGCACACCTTGTGCTTTTGGGCACTCAGTGATGTTGCAGCTCTGAAATATGGCCAAACTGGTGGCAAGTGGCATCGTGGCAGCTGCACGCTTGACTTTTCTCAGTTCATGGGCAGTTATTTTGCGCCTTGGTTTTTCCACACGCTTCTTGCGACCCTGTTGACTATTTTGGATGAAACGCTTGATTGTTCGATGATCACGCTTCAGAAGCTTTGCAATTTTAAGAGTGCTGCATCCCTCTGCAAGATATCTCACTATTTTTGACTTTTCTGAGCCTGTCAAGTCCTTCTTTTGACCCATTTTGCCAAAGGAAAGGAAGTTGCCTAATAATTATGCACACCTGATTGTCAAGGATCTTACCTGGAGTGGGAGTCCGGCACGCAGAGTTGAGGCACCCTTTGCAATTCGACACAGACCGAGGGGACTCAGGACAGAAATCCCCAAAGCTGTGACACAGTGCACTGGGGCTGAAATAACCAGTGCTTCCTGGAACGCAGTACAGACAAGGATATCCAGAAGAGTAGTCAGTATCAGAATCAGAAGTCAGGACGGGCGGCAATCAGGCGAAAACAGTAGACGAGCAGGAGATCAAAAGCAGGAGTCAGATGAACAGCAGTGAAACCAAACAGGAACAGGAAACACGATCTGACAACGAGAACCAGCCTTGCGGGGTTTAAATAGGGAGTCTCAGCCAATCATCAAGGAACCAGGAACAGGTGTGCACATTCCAGGCATACAGGCTCAGACTACAGGATACCAAGAACAACCAGAAACAGTCAAAGATGCGTGGAGCTCAATGCAAGGATACCGACTGGGATGCAGGAAACTCAGGTTTGATCCCAGCCAGACCCAAATACACAATATTGTGTAAAGCACAATGGCGATCCTGACATTACCCCCCCCTTCAAAGACGCCGTAGGCGAGAAGAGGAACGCAACTTACGACCCAGGAGGTTACTTTTTGGATTTCTTGGCTTTGGTGGTACTAGTAGGAGCAGAGGTCATAGCTTGTAGGGCCTTTTCAAATACTTGCAAGTCCTCCTTCCGGACTAGAGTCCCATTAGAAGCATAGGTACAGCCAGAAAGAGGGTCTTCCTTGACAGGACTTGTAGTGGTTGTGGTGCTTGCCTTCTTAGAAGCAGAATCTTTAGTAGAAATAGAGATCTCAGGTTCTTTAGTAACAGATTCCTGCACAACCTCAGGAGCAACGACTGTAGAAGGCTGAGGATTGGACAGAGTTGCCAAGCAAGGACAGGCAGCATGTTGGCAGACAGGTCTCATAGGATATGCCAGAGTAGTACCCAGACGGAGAACCCGAGACCTAGATGGACGAATGGGACAAAAAGATATTAAATGTCCCATCTCCCCACAATAATAACACAGTCCATGCGCCATCCTTCTCGCCCTTTCTTGAGATGACTGACGGAACCTAACCAGTCCAATCTCCATGGGTTCCTCTGCCTCCCTGCCAGATTTATACGATGTTTCGGGAGACTTGGGAGCGGTAGGGTTAGCTGTAACATCAGTCCGAGTGAAAGGAGTAGTGTAGTCCATTTCCAGTCCGGGTTGCAATATGTGTGAAGCAACAGTAGATGATCTATGTACATATGACTTTTGTGTCTTGTTGCATTGTAAACCCAGGGACCGAATAAAGGACTCCCAGGAATCCAGGACTGGGCTTTTGGCGAGTAACAACTGGTGGGCCCAGATCTTAAGGTGCCCCGACAATAAGGTAATCGCTGTCCTCACTTTAATGACGTCTGTGGCATAGGTAAGTGGTCTCAGGGAGAACAGGACCTCGCAATCAACTTTGAAGGTATCATACTTAGACCGGATCCCAGAAAATTTCTCGGGTAGAGCAACCAGCGGTTCAGAGAGTCCAGAGTCATAGGTTACTCTCCCTTTAAGGGAAGCCAGCTCCTGCTGTAAGCCCTGCAAAGCCTGGGTGAGCTGGGAAACTTGCTGGGTCAAGGCTGCAACGGTAATCTTCGACTCTGCAGACTCCATTTGGTCAGATCGTACTGTCAAGGATCTTACCTGGAGTGGGAGTCCGGCACGCAGAGTTGAGGCACCCTTTGCAATTCGACACAGACCGAGGGGACTCAGGACAGAAATCCCCAAAGCTGTGACACAGTGCACTGGGGCTGAAATAACCAGTGCTTCCTGGAACGCAGTACAGACAAAGGATATCCAGAAGAGTAGTCAGTATCAGAATCAGAAGTCAGGACGGGCGGCAATCAGGCGAAAACAGTAGACGAGCAGGGGATCAAAAGCAGGAGTCAGATGAACAGCAGTGAAACCAAACAGGAAAAGGAAACACGATCTGACAACGAGAACCAGCCTTGCGGGGTTTAAATAGGGAGTCTCAGCCAATCATCAAGGAACCAGGAACAGGTGTGCACATTCCAGGCGTACAGGCTCAGACTACAGGATACCAAGAACAACCAGAAACAGTCAAAGATGCGTGGAGCTCAATGCAAGGATACCGACTGGGATGCAGGAAACTCAGGTTTGATCCCAGCCAGACCCAAATACACAATATTGTGTAAAGCACAATGGTGATCCTGACACTGATATAGGGTGTTGATGTCATTAGACCACACCCCTTCTCATTACAGAGATGCACATCACCTAATATGCTTAATTGGTAGTAGGCTTTCGAGCCTATACAGCTTGGAGTAGGACAACATGCATAAAGAGGATGATGTGGTCAAAATACTCATTTGCCTAATAATTCTGCACTCCCTGTACATAGGACACGAGGTTACACATTTAGGCTGGAAGAAAGGAGATTTCATCTAAGGCAAAGAAAAGGTTTTTTTACAGTAAGAGCAATAAGGATATGGAATTCTCTGCCTGAAGAGGTGGTTTTGTCTGAGTCTATACAGATGTTTAAACTGTAATTGGATAAATACTTGCAAAAACATAACATACAGTGATATAATTTCTAATTAGTGGGGTAATAGCTGCTTGATCCAAAGAGACATCTGACTGCTATTTTGGTGTCAAGAAGGAATTTTTTCCTAGTTTGTTGCAAAATTGGAGCGCTTCACACTAGGTTTTTTTTGCCTTCTTTTGGATCAACAGCAAAAACATATGTGAGGAAGGCTGAACTTGATGGACGCAAGTCTCTTTTCAGCTATGTAACTATGTAACTGTGTAACTTCATAATGCATGCCTTGAATCAGCCAAGGCATATCATGCAAATTTATTTAAACTCACTCCCTAGAGATACATGCTCATTTACACATAGGGTACTAGGAATACAATGCCCAAACACATACTCTTAGGTGACATTTTTCTTTAGATGCTTAATATGCCTAGAGTTTGATGGGGCAATTAAATAACCATGGACATGGAAGTGCTGCAAAGTTAACTGAGTTATATAGTTATCCTTGCCGGACTACTCACTCACCCTAAATGTTTAATTAAGGTGCAAAAACATTGTGCTCTTTATTTTAATAGACATACTCCCAAACAACATTATTGACACCATAATCAAAAAGTAATAAACAAAGTAACTCGATATCCAGTGTTTTCCTTCAATAGCTTCAGTAAGTGCTCCCGACTGAGAGCATCATCTAATTTCTCTCAGCCAATGGGCTAAGTCTTGCACCCCTGTGAATGTCACGGGCACCATCTCTTCCAGGTTGGCATGTGAATTGCTTCAGTGGGTTAAAAAAAGAAAAAAATTCACGATTTGTCTGCACTGACCCAAATCATGGTAACAAATTCCTCTTAACACCACTCACACCTATTCTACAATAAAAGCTGTCACCACCAAGACAAATTATAAATGATGATATTTAGTCACCGCAACCAAATTAGATTAAAAATTAAGAAAACACAGTTTAGCAAAAAATATCGCTGAAACCACAGTACTATTTTATGTCTCTTCTATAAGATGATTCTTAAAACAGATAAGGATAAAGGACTATTTATTATGAATAAAATAAAACTTACAGTGCGTACAAATACAAAATATATTACACATTCACAATTCACACTAACAAATAGATAAAAATGAAAAAGTGAAAATTAACAGAAAACCCTAATACTTACGGTACCAGCAAAATACCAGTAATTATTTCACAAGAGAGAGCTTGGAAGAAAAATGGAAGCCACTGCAAATTTCAGTTGACTCTTAAAATGGATTACCTCATGAGCTTATCTAGTAAAGACATAAAGGATATTGGGGGCAGACCCAGAGCATGCAATTCTTAGCAATGGTGCTGCCGTAGAGACCAAAATGTATGCAAAATGCAGAGTAAGGAAGCACACACATACAAATACAGGTTTACATTTTATAAGGCTATGTAAAATCACCTATCTCAGTAAATAAATATTTTGTTCCACCCAATGGCCGTATTGTGATAATACCACAGTACCGCAATATTGATGGGTCTTACACTAATTCCAATGTGGGAGTCAAATTAAATAGTGCAGGAACTAAATAAACTAAATCAGTCTGTTGTAAGAGCGCTGTTCCTTAATATGTCTCATGAAATTATCCATCCATAATAGAGCCATGTATCCACTACATACATCACATTGATTATCAATGAATTATGCCTACTGTGCATGACAGGATTTAACTCAAACAGAGTTCGGACCCCAGGTAAGAAGCCAGTCCTTTAGAAAATGGTTTCACTAGTTACATGGAGGGGGTGCCGGGACATTATTGACACCATAACCAGAACAATGTATTTTCATTTTCTATTTTTTGTTTAATTACTGATTGATTATGATAGTTATAGCTTTTTCTTTACAATGTAACATTTTAGTTAGTTTCATTGATACAGAAATGTTTGCAGAGCATAAATCATCCCCCTCCTACCTGGTTTAGTAGAGTTGTAACATCATCATCTCTCTCTCGTTTTTAGAAACAAACTCATCAAGTGATGAACCATTATTTAACAGCACAGAGGCTGCAAACTCCTCCTCACCGCAACCTTGGTTAACATGTACTGCCCAAGAAGAAATGCTGAATTTAGGTTTCACAATTGGCTCATTTTTGTTGAGTGCAACAACCCTTCCTTTGGGAATACTCATGGATCGGTATGGACCTCGTCCGCTGAGATTAGTTGGAAGGTGAAGTATGACCATGAATCTGCTTAGAAAGTTCTGCCATTTGAATTTAGTGATCTATAACATGACTCCAAACAATTTAAATTGACAAAGTGGGTGAATTGTTTTTTAAGAGGTTTTACTGGAGGTATGAGAAAGGGAAACTAGTGAGCTTTTTTTTTTTTTTTGACTTTATAAAGGTCATTTATGCAAAGTGAACATGTTAAAAACATATACCATACCAACGTTGTAGTGGTGTGTTCCCTGTAAAGATGGCATAGCATTACTAGAAGACATTTCCTATGTGTATAACACAAACATTTGATCTAGTTTCATGTATGTACAGGGATACTCTTTCCTGACTACATAATTATTTTTGTATTACTTAATACACACTTCTTTGTAATACAGTATAGGTTTCCTGGTCGCTACTTCATGTATTTTAGGAAGGAGACATTGAAAGTCTATTATACCAGTGGATGCCCCTTCTAACTGCCCCTTCCATTTTTGGTGTAATGTTTTCCTTTCTAAATAGCACTTTCTGTCTGTATGTCATTTTAACCTCCTCGGTTAATACTGTGTACATTATATGCTTGGTATGAGTGGATGCTGAAGTGTACTAAAAATTTTTTGTTGTTTGTTTTTTTGCAGCTTCTGCTTTGCATTATCTTGTGCTCTGATTGCTCTTGCAGGCTATGATCATTCAGGTACGTACAACATGAAAAAGATTTAGTTTTATAGGACTTTTGTATCCTTCAGATCAGGGCTTAAACTTTGTAGTGCCATGCTACTGACCAGGCCTTAAAAGTTACTCTCTATTGCAAGTCATAGTGTATCCTCCATGGGGAATTTCTTCTCGAAAGGGATACATTTTCACTAGCCAATGGCTAATATTCATGGCCAATTCTATATTCAGCTATAAAACTACTGTGCTTCTCCTGAAATAGAAGGTGGGTTCTCACATGTATGGGCAGTGAAAATTGGTAGGATATGTAAGTACATTTTCTTGGAAAAACCAAGCCCTCAGTTTATATACTATGCTTTGTTTCCATTTTATCTGTAATATCTAAAAACTTTTATAAGGTATCCTAATATCTGCAGAGGGCTTTCATTTACAAAGAGACATTTTTTGAGCTGGGAGATTAATGTTGTTTAACGTTAATTAGTCTTGCAAGGTCCCTGTGCTAAACCATAAAAGGCTAATTATCAGTAATGCTAAGAGACAATGCCAATATCATTAGATCATCTGGTATGTTTTTTTTAATGAGTTATTTTTATATCACAATTCATTGTTTCACTGCTGTAGGTTGAGAATGAGAAGTAGATTTGTACCCGAATTTGCATACTCAAGTCATACCTCCATGATGCATACTCAAGTCATACCTAACTTCTAGAGAGGGTGTGTGTGTTAGCCTTGTGGTTTCTGCTACCCCCCCAAAAAACAAACACTGATTAAAGAGAAATATAGGCAACCAGAACCCTTCAGGTCAAGCATGTCAAACTCAAAGTCTGGTACGGGCCACATAAACAAGGTTTAAGTTTATGTGGGCTGCAAAAAACCCCCCCAAACTTTAATTTTCATAGAAACCTAGGTTTATTTTAAAAAGTACAGTAAAAAAACAAAACAGCACCTCCTCTACTAAATCCCAGTCCCCCCCTTACCACCCTGTGCCAAATCTGATCCTCCCGCTGACACACACACACATTTTCACTGACAGACACACACACACACATACTCACTGACAGACACACACACTCACTGACATACACACACACATACTCACTGACAGACAGACACACACACTCACTGACAGACACACACTCACTGACAGACACACTGACACACACACACAGACAGACAAACACACATACTCACTGACAGACACACACACACACATACAAATACTCACTGACAGACAGACAGACACACACATACAGACACAGACACAATGACAGACACAGACACATACTCACTGACAGACACAGACACACTGACAGACACAGACACACTAACAGACACACACACATACTCACTGACAGACACATACTTGCTGACAGACACACACACACACACACACACACACACACAGAGACACTGACCACCAGACAGACAGACACACACACATACTCACTGACAGACAGACACACTCACACACACTCACTGACAGACAGACAGACACACACAGACCCCCCCCACACACACACACACACTGACACAGACAGACTCACACACCCTGACAGACACACACTTACACATTCTTTTGTTTATTGCTGCCTACCTTTTGGAGCCGATGTAGGGCATCTCCCTGGGGTCCTTCTATCTGCTCCTTACTGCTCACTTGCGCGGTTTAGTGATACCTGGTGCCGTAATATGACGTCATATTTCACCGCCCGGCTTCACTATAGACGGCGCAAGGAAGCAGTGAGGAGCAGGAACACCTCGCTGGCCCTCCTCTCCCCCGGCCAGGTAAGTGTTAGCAGAATAGGCACCTGCAATGTGGGGAAAGCAGGTGCTTACTCTGCTATAACACCAGCATGTACTCGTGCCATACCAATAAAGCTCTTTTTACCTAATCAGGAACTATATTGAGACCACTATCTGATTTTTCTCATATGGACATAGGAATTAACCCTATAGGGTTAGGACTACACAGACCGGGTGTGTTTCATACCTTGCAATTCTCTAGATACATATTGCTAAATACCTTTTCTTATAATTTTTGTTTTCTTTTTAGCTATATATCCTCTATATATAATCTTTAACTGACCAGGCAGGGTAGGCATAGTCGCCTTTGGTGTACTTGCATACCTCTTTTATTATTTTTGCAACGTTGGCACTAGTGGGTTAAGCCCTGAGAGAGATCCCTGGAATCTCTCATTGATGCTCTGTTAGTTTGGACTACTGAGACATTACCTATGTATGGTTTGTCACAATTGATCCACACTGATTATTTTCTCTACATTATACAATGCTAGCCTATGGGGGAAGTCCTATTTTGAGCACAGTGCTCCCCCTACCCTCACTGACTGAAGGCGGCGAGGGAGGAGTTGAGGAAGAGCCTGAACCATCACCGAGGGACATCGGCGCTAAAATCAGGTATGTGACAGAAGGGATGGGGCGCGAGGGAAGGGGACACTACAGGGAGATATAGTGTCAGGAAAACAACTTTGTTTCCCTGGCACTATAGTTTCCCTTTAAATATATATTAACCATTATTGTGTGCTCACTGATGCTCATTTTCTATATATGCTATTTCTTTAATTATGTGAATATCATGGCTTCTCACCTTTCAGATTATATTGCACATGTTAGTCTTTCTCTTAATCAACATCTATTAATTTGCATATTATTAATTCAGTCAATAAACTTGGAAACTTCCACAAATATGGACAATTTGATCTCTAAATCTGTAGTTCCCTTCTTCCACAGTTTTGGCACCATTGATATTTCTTGCATTGTCTCTGAATGGGTTTGGAGGTATCTGCCTGACTTTTACATCTCTGACGGTAAGTACATTTATATTCTTGCCATTGAGAAATAGTAATCAGTGTTTTGTAATTTAATTTTCTATTGCTTCATGGAATTGATAATTGAGGCTAAAACACAAATTAAAATCAAGGGTAATTCCTTCTCTCTATCTGTATGCTAGGCTACAAGTGACAATACATGCGTAATATTGTGTTTTTGAGAATGGCTAATCCAATAATATCACCTAAAACAAAATTGTCAATTAATTTAAATAAAAAAAAAAAAAAATTACATTTTTTAAATCAACTTACGTTCCTTTATGGGGGAGTGCATAATCTTAAAAACATACCTCATCCTAACCCCGACCACCCCCAAAATAGAGATATCATCTTGCGCAGTCTTCTACAATCCCACAAAATGAAGCAAATCATTGTGTGCATCCCAGGACCTCATTCAATAATAAGAGAGCTAAATTGTCAGGGTTATTTACTAACCGGAGAATTGTTTGGAATTCAAACGGAATGTCAAATTGAAGGCCAAGGTAGTCAAACTCTTTAAAAAGCTGACTAGAATAATTTTTCCAGTTCAGCTATTTTAAACTTAAATTTGAAATTCACTTTGAAATCCTGGCAATTCCCACTTTAGTGAATAGCTCTGTATGACAACTCACTGAACAAATGGGATATCTTATTTGTTCTGTTTACTTTCCACAATGTTTGAGTAAAGGTACAACTGAGTGGGTGGTTAGCCATAGACACCCTATACCCTAGGCATTGGGATTAGGTTGAATTAAGTGGGGTTGTCGTTTCACAGCCCTATTTCCTAATCCTTTAATAATAAATATTTGTTCTTTGGTTTCTAAATGTTCTAAGTAAAAAGAACTGCCTAGTCTTTTTTCATGGTTGCCCTAATCATAGAGAGAGAATAACGTCTGGTGCCCTAATGCCTCCAAATAGTTTTCCTACCTACTCTAGGCTGTCCTTACTGTATGCAGTGTCTTGCGTAGCACTTAGTGTGCATAGTAATTCTTGGATTTCTAAAGGGAAATGCTTATGCATCTGGCACAAATTTGCTTCATGCTTTGCAAAATGAACCATTCAAAATAATATTGATTTTTAAAGTCAACTATACAGCACAAAAACAAATAAGACAGCACTGGAATGATAACCAAGTTAGCTTCAAATAGCTTGGGAATGGATTTATTTTGCAAATTTCAGGTCACCAGATAAAAAAACAAAAAACAAAAACAACTACGGAATATAGTTTGCTTCTAGTGATTTCAGCATTGACCATGTTGAGTATGCATACTCCAGTAGCTACACTTCCTAAAACAGTGTCCATGGTATGTCTCTTAGTTTTTATTTAATGTCCGTGTCCCATTGACCATTTATCAAGATTCCATTCCTGAAGTTTAACAAAGTCACTGCAGTACTGGTACATAGAAGTAATTTTCCAATCTCATATATGGAATTGACAGATAAAGCATTTGTATTGTACATCTAATACTGCAGGGCTTGGATTATCAATGACTGCTTGAATAGAAAATCCATGAGAGAAAAGAGATTTTGTATAATTTGACACCACATTATTTGGTCTTTCTTCTATGGCAAGGTTAATATTGATTTGTCTTCTTGTGGACCTTATGTATGCGTTTCCATATCCAATAATCAGACAGAGTAAGTGAATATATCCAAAAAAAGTTGTTTCCTGTGGTGCTATCAGAAAGCAGAAACCAATATACATGCTTTTAAATATCCAAAACATTTCTTCCCTCATGAATCCAGATAAAACCTTGTTCCTAACTGTCTCTGGAATAGCATAGTATATGCATATTGCTGTAAAGATGCAGAGATATGTTTGTAGACGTTTTATAATAGGAATGTTACATTAATAGGAAATAATCCATGTTTATGTACATACATTGTCTATTAGCTCATTGGATGATTGTAGTTGAGCAAACGGAATTGCTAAAAAGTTATCAAAGTTGTATAGTCTTTTTTTGATGTGAGAAAGTTTTGTAGAAGAAAAGATGACTATAATCAAGAACAAAATAAATATGAAACAACGAGGAAGCCAAACACAGCATGAATACTATTAGAGTCTAATTATGGAAACATTGTGTTGACATGGATATAATAAATCCATACCAGGTACCAACAAAATCATGTAATGGGGCAACACCTGTGTCTGCTAAAAATATTGTTTTGTCTGTAATAGGTAAGTTGCTAACACAAGGTTGTGTCTGTGTTGTGCGTGAAGGTGTGCTTATAGCAGTTGAATTAGTATCTGATGTATCATGTAGGCAAGAAAATAGGGATTCAGGATGATACAATTACGGATTTGGATTTTGTAGTGTGATCCTGTTCTCCTATTCAAATATCACCAGTAGGCACAGTTTGTCTGTGTTGTCTGTGATGTCTATGTGCTTTAATTCTTGTGGATTTGTTGTATTAGTATAACAAGGAATAATTAGTTTGTATTTGCTTTCTAAATGTTTTACATATTCTTTAGTATTATGCAGCAACTGATCGATTTCTCTAGCATATTTATTTATTTATTTTATCTCTCATGCTATTTTAAAAAGGCAAATGTTAGTAAGTCCCCTATAGGATAACATTTTTTTTTTTTTTACATTTGCCAGGGATTTGTGGGTACACGGAGGCAATCTCTTTGCTTTTAAACTTGCGTTCCAAATCAGAATCAATATATATGTCATCTAGGTCTGATGTTTCTGACTCTAGATTGGCTGCTATAATAAATCCAATTGTATTTGTATTGTGTATTTGATGGTTTGAGGAACAGTCCTTCTTCCCCTTCTTCAAGCCTTCGAATTTAATGTGCGGTTCCCTTACATGTGTTTGTAATGTTTGTAGTGCAGTTTTTATGTGTAAGCTCACCTAGTTTGTCCTGCAAGAATGTGACTGTGTAATAAATTGTGTGCAATATTTTTATTTTTATTTTTTTTACAATCAAACATTATGTTTGCTTGTTTGAAGGTTACTTCCCTTTAATGCAAAATAATAGACTTCAACCTCTGTAGGAGTCTCCGGACCCCTGAAATATTGTGTTTCTTGTAAAATTTACATAGTTTCTTCTAACTTAGATTTACTTTGTAACATTTTGCGTTTATCAGTCTTTAACAAAGAATTCCAACTATTTACTGCTTCTAAGAGCAACTGTAGCAAACAAGTTTTTACCCTTATCAAATTTTAATAATGATTCTATTGCTGCATACATTCCTTCTAAAAAAAATCAAAATATTTCAATATATCTTAATTTCAATACATTTTGCTACATATAGAGCCCATCTTCTTTTTTAAGCAACAGTCCAATTTTTTCAGCTACTAAAAATAATCTAAATTATTTTAATCTTCTCTATACAATTCACTCTTTTACATGCTCCATTTCTTTATGCATATTAGATCCTGAGCATACTTTATGAATATGCCGGAGTTGGGAGGTTATGGATAGTAAAATAATGTTTTTTTTCAGGTGATGCAACACCTTTGTCTTGGGTTTAAATCTTCATATATCCTCGTATAACAGGCAATAGGGAATAATTGCTCCCTTTCTGTGAACTGGTATCTTTTCAGTTCCTCAGGGTTACACTAGGAACATCCAATCACAATATAACAGAATATAAGCCAGACAGAAAATACTTACAGGAAATTTTACAATGGACCAAGGTGTCCAATCATTTGTGATGACTTGAAACAAAAGTTACTAATTCAGTTATGTTGTGCATTAATTTAATCCTAATACAATTCATTCAACTATGCTGTAAGTAGATTTACAGATTAAAGTGGCACTGTCATGCCGAGCTTACCTTTCTCCTACGGTTTCCTCTTTTCGTACTCTCTCAGAATCTGTGCTAGTTTTCTTTAACCCCTTGAGGACACATGACATGTGTGACATGTCATGATTCCCTTTTATTCCAGAAGTTTGGTCCTTAAGGGGTTAAAACACAAGACACAGTAGGGACTACGCTTGACTTTCTTTGACCAAACAAGGAGTTAAGTCAGCTCCATTTCCTGTGTCAGGGAGAATGGTGAGTATTTTCCCTGACACATGAAATGGAGCTCCTTTGGTTTAAGAAAGTCAAGTGCAGGAAAAATATATAAGTCCCTACTTTGTCTCATGTTTTAAAGAAAACTAGATCAGAAATAAAGAAAAGAAGAACAGATTCTGAGAGAGGAAGAGAAGAGGAAACAATAGGAGAAAGGTAAGTTCGGCGTGACAGTGCTGCTTTAAATAACGCATTCATCTATGTTGCAAATAGACTGAAACATAAAACGATGAACACAACGATGTTGTAAATTGTATCTTAAAACAATCCATTCTGCTATGTTGTAAATACACCAAATCCTAAAACAATGCATCTAATTATGCTATAAATTAGAAACCTAAAACAGTTGTTAATGAACTGAAGCACTTCTTGTTGACCCGGAGTTGTCTCTTGTACGATATCCACATATCCACAAATTTATATTATACATTTTTATTTTTATTGCCTTTAGGACTGTAGCATTAATTTCTCTTACTCACTGTATTCTTAAAAAAAATAAAAAAATGTTTGTTTATTTACAGGGAACTATGCCCACGTTAAGTTGATTTCCTGTCAGATTGCTGTTTTAATCAGGAATGCATACAGGGGCATACAGTTCAGGGTTATATTGAATGAAACAGTCCAAAGTCTAACTAGAGATATGCAGCTGATGCACAAGAATAATTGCACTGTGGGGAGTTGTATTGTGTTTGGCCCCCAATATTTGTGGCATCTAGCTATATGCTCTAAGAGAGATTTCAGCTTCCATAGCAGAACCACGCTGATGATACCGACGAGGTTGAAACTGCAGTAGATGACTAATTTCTGGTCATAGGTACTTTTGGATCCGATCCCATGCTATGGTTTAAAAAAAGCTGTGTTTAAAACAGCATCCATTGCTAAGGCTATCTGCAGAATTCTAGAATTAAGTCTGAACAATGCCTCGCTGTGCTCATTTACATATAAAGCAGGAAACTCTTATATGGCGGTGAAAGGTGGTGATGTCTCAAGTTTCTGTCCCTCAAGAAGAACTTTCCAAAGTCCAACTTGAGATATGCAGGTCATGGACAACAATACTTTTAGGAATGAAATGCACAGATTAGTGTTCAGACCAAATTTTACTTTAAGAAATGTCAAATATAATTTTTTTATAAGCATTTCTCATTGAAATAGTGAGGTGATAACCATATAATTATGCCCATAACGAAATTAGGGCAAAATAAATCTTTGCTCTATAATATTCAGCACATTCAATGTTTACTGCTGAATTTACTTGTTATGTTCTGAGTAAATTAATAACTCGTATCTTCATTTAACTATGCTAGGGTTAACATTATCGTCCATAAAAGCATGACATGTTTTTGTCTACTCTAATCCACCCCCTTTAATTGTGTTTCTCTTTGTCAACCCCATGTTATTTCCTATCCCCCCTGCATGTTTCTCATCATTTTACTGTGTTTCTCTTATCTCAATTACATGTTTCCGCTGCCTCGCCCCCACATTTCCCCCCCATCACCCTGCTTTTTGTCTCTTTGTCCTCCCACAAACATCATTGCAACCTTGACAATGAAGCTATTCCTCTGTTTCTAAATACAACTGAAAACCTAAACATTAGATTAGTTAACGTATTTAAAAACCATCAATTAATCATTCTGTGTTCATGATAATGGTCAAGATAACAAGTTTTAGCTTCTTAGTTTTTCTGTTGATGGCAATAACTTCTTATACACATACACATTGTTTTCAATTATTCAGGTAAGAAACAGAGGTATATGGTAATAATATTTAAGTTATTTACAGTTATCATTCATCATATCTTACTGCCAATGTATATGCTTAACTACTTAAAGACCACATTCGCAACCCCTTAAGGATTACAATTTGATTCCTAAAGACCCTATACCAGTATAATATGTTCTGCAAATTTTATATTGTTAGTGTGGAGTCTAAGGGTTGAACTGTACTCATGATATTCAGGCAGACAAATTTGTCAAAAGAGGCTATTGAGTCATTCATTCATATGAGTCATATATTCAGAATCTCTCTTTAAAGTGAGAATGTCTTCATTGACAGAGAGGGTGGGGACCCTTGGGAGTTCCCTCTTTTAGGCATGTATACTTTAACTGCTCGAAATACATGTGTTTATTTAACTGCCTGCACTAAGAATTCCTTCAGGTATAAATTCAAATTGGCAAGCTTAATTTGGAATGGAGGTGGTAGATCTGTTTATGATCATTTTTTTATTATTTTTATTTTTTATTACTGAATATATTAGTGACAAGGCAAACCCACCAAGAATGTAAATGAGAACCTTCTTGTCTGCTTTGTTTCTAACACAGATTTCAATTTCATTTATTTGGATAAACTTTTCATATGATCACAATCTGTTAGACAAACTTTTCAAATGATCCAGGACCATAAGAAACACTACCCCTCTATGAACACACTAACAGGATACAAAGTAAACACTAGCAAAAAGGGGAGATGTAATCGTACCCCACGCCTGTAACAGCCCCACCACAGGACAGGCACAAACCGACAACCAAAAAAAAATAAAAAATACCTGTGACCCCCTTCCTCCTCTTACCCCCCTTGGGTACACCAACTTTGAGCCTCCGGACCTCCACCCACTACGATAAGCACCGACCCACTCAATGGCCCGCTCACACCAATGCTACGAAAAACAAAAAAGCAAAAAGAGCCTAACCACCTTCCCCTTTCCTTTCTGTACCCCTCTCCTACCCTAGACCTCAGGTCCTAACAGACAGTACAGAAGCAGAAGAGAATATTAAGCATATTAAGCATATAAACTAAGCTTTAACTAAGGTGGAAAAGATCGAACTCTTGCTTAAACTGTAAGATCACCACATAAGCAAATGCATGTATACTGACTTATGTATGACCATCTGTATCCCCAGCTTTTTCTTCTGTACCCCTACCCCCCAAAAAATACAAAAATCTTTCAAAATAAAGAATTTATTTAAAAAAAAAAATCTATGGAAAGTTTTGTACAGATTGTGATAATTTGAAAAGTGTATCTAAAACAATTAAATCATGGCCACAGTTTAGAATGCTGAGAGGGCATACAGCCCAAGAAAATTTTTACTGACCAAGTTTAGTAAAAATGCAGTCATAGCTAATTAATTGAATGAGTTACAATTGGTTACTTAAAAGCTATATGATATTCACTATCACAGCTGATTTCTCAGTATAGCTCAGCTTAGTTAGTAGACCCATTTCCTAGCATACATTCAGGTTTTACTCTACCTCATAACAAAGTAGTTAAATAACTCATAAAATAAACATAAACTGAATCACTATGGCAGAGGAAAGGGTATGCAAAACTATTCAAACCCATGCTTGCACAACCCTTTTGGCCCTGAATAACCTAATAAGAAAATAGTTTTCCCAATCTATCTGGCCCTCTTTATGAACCTCCGTTCCTCATTTCCTAGCTACCAGTCCCCACACATATTAAACAGCCTAACTACTTCCAATCTTCCAATTATGAATACAAACCATTGGAGAACTTATAACAAGAACAATGCCTGGGAGGTGTGTTTGGAACATAGGAAATATAATTGTCCATGTCATGGGGATAAAAAAATAAGTAAAAAAAAGAAACAAATGTACCAATAACAGAATATCTGAAGCCCCACCTTCCAATTATCATGTGCCAAGTAAAGATACAAATCTGCTTATAAAGATACATTATTATATAAAACGTCTAGTAATGGAAGCAGACCATAATATATAGTACAGTAAAGGTGACACTGTCACATTAAGTATAGTAAATACTGTGGTCAATAATTAGGTATAAGATGAATTACCAAACACCGTAATATAAGCAATAAGTAAAGAAAGCTCAGAAGCCAAGTTAAACTTTCAGATATATTTACCCTATTCCTGACTCAGATGAAGATAGAGGTAACAATCTTGATGAGGTAGATACTTTGGTCTACTGTTTGTGAATCAAAGTTATTTTGGTTGTGCAGATTTGCTCGGTGATAGAGGTATACACAGAAGAAGAATTTTATATTCTTTGAATAGGCATGGGCCTTGTTCAGGATAGGGAATCGCTTTCAAAGATCCATGGAATTATAGAAAGGTTGGCTAGTTTGACTATTTCAGGAAATTCCCAAATCCTTAAACTATTTTACCTGAATCGATCGACCAGGTTAGATAACTTTGCTTTGAGTGATTGCAACAAGGGGTCCAGTTCTACAAATTAGTATGGTAATTTCTCATGTTTGGCACCCTTTTCCATCAATTATGTAACTCACATGAAGCCTGTTTTACCATCTAACCCCATGTTCAGATTTGCTGTTAAATGCCTGAACATGCATCATAGGGTGTTCTGTTAACCTATACTGACAGGTGCCCTCACTCTACAGCTGTCCTGATCACATCTCTGCGGAAACTGACAGGTGGTGGTCAACAAAGTTGATGGGTTTTTAGTGATGTATTCTGTTTTACTTTCAAGTTTGTCAGTTTAATCCTCTAGACCTACACCATTTGGCTGTGATTTATTAGAGGTTAGATTAAATGTCACACCTCAGAGTTTGAAACTTTAACACCTTTGTTTGCTCAAAGATTTCATTAGTGGCAGTAGGGTAATTACTTGTGTCTTCTGATTTGGAGATGGAGGAGAGAAAATGTCATCCATCTTCTATGTCATAATGAAGCATATTGGTCTTGATTGCACTGTATTAAAGGAACAATCCTAACCATTTTATAAAGCTCCTAAGTTACTCCCTATTTATAGAGCCAGGAGGGGGTCTTGTTTACTGATTTCTGTCCTACTGATGAGCCTCTTGAGGACGAGAAAAGATGCTGCAACCCTCTTGTCTCTGTTGATGCTGCTACCCTCTTGTCGCTGGATTACAGGTAAGTTAACTCTTCATTCTTACAGGAAAGGCTGAGGAAGTAGGGGTAAAGTCCACAAAACTCCAGAGTTATAAATAAATGTATTAATTAATAACACTGGAGTATTTCTTTAAGTGAGTTCCTATCTGTACAGTTAGTTGGCTTGAGGATAATTGCTTTGATAGGCTAAATTTAACATCCTTCCTTGTGAAAAGAGCAAGATCAGACTTGGCATGAACAAAAAGTAAAGTTTGTCTCTGGTTTCTCAAGATGCAGAGAAGCAAATTGTAATTGAAAAAGTCTCTGTGATGACTAAATAGGATGATTTCAGAGTTAATTCGATAAGGCAGAACAGCAATTCTCTTGTCTTGTCATTTAGTGTGTGCTCAAGTGAATATAACCTCCTTGAACCTCAACAAGTACAATAAGCCATTTATAGTGCTTGAAGTGTATCCTTTGAAAAGCCACGATTTGTATACATGGAAACGTATTTACAGTGCAATTAAAATTGTGAAGAAAAGGCTTGTGCTTTTGAGCATTCAAGCTGGGTACATATATATGAAGCCTGAGAGGAGTGCAATAAAATAGATTTTGTACATCATGTGCACATTGTACTTTCTCGTGCTCACAATTTAATAGATCATTCCCACAAGATAGTACAGTGTGCTCACAAGATAATAAGTTACCTTGTACGCACACTATAACTATTTCATGTGCACAAAATAATTAAATAAGTTGAGTGCACAAGACGGTTAATAGATTGTAGTAATACAGCAATATGTGGTAATCTAATACTTTCTAAATATTCAATTGTTTGCTTTTACAGGACTCATGTAGTTCATGTATTGTGTAAAAGGCAACTTCCCAGGATATTTTCTATTGATCCCTATTAGTGATGTCCGGAACGGTTCGCCGAACGGTTCGCCGCGGACGGCGAACATAAACATAAACTTTGACCCTGTACCTCACAGTCAGCAGACACATTCCCGCCAATCAGCAGCAGACCCTCCCTCCCACCTCCTGGACAGCATCCATTTTACATTCATTGTGAAGCTGCATTCTTAGTGAGCTGTCCAGGAGGTGGGAGGGTCTGGGAGGGAGGGTCTGCTGCTGATTGGCTGGAATGTGTCTGCTGACTGTGAGGTACAGGGTCAAAGTTTATGTTTATGGTCGCCGTCCGCGGCGAACCGTTCGGGACATCACTAATCCCTATATTTAACAAATCTATAATTATGAGGTGTAAAAAAATAAAACTAAATGTATAAATCCTAAACTCTTTATCTTGCAACTTAGTGCTTCCACTTATCTCCATGTCAATCATTGTTATTCTATTATTTGTTCCTGGCAGTCAGCATATAGTGAAAAGAAGAAATTAATCAATGTTTTGATTTGCTTGTGTGCTTGTTAAATCGTAAATAAAAAAGAAAATGAATCATTAACACAAGTTGTAGGTGATTTTCAATTATTTATTCTTTTGTGTACATTTGATAGAAATAAGATGTCCACTTTAACATTTTCTTGTAGGCTATATAGTTGCTTTTATATAATTTATCACACACAATTTATTTCTTGATGTAGAATTTTATTGAAACATAAAAGTAATTCTAGTCATATGGCACAAGACACATAGTTAGGATAGTGGAGGGGAAAAAACTTTGGGTCACGAGTGTTCTAGGAAGAATGTTTTACACTTTACTTTATTTTTTCCATGTGACCATCATATGTTGAGAACATGTCATCTGTTTATAAAACAGGATAAATGTCACCCAGCCCCACCCCCCAACACAAGGACCCTCATAACACAAATCCTTGTGACACACCTGTTCCCATACACACATTCCATTACAACTGACTCTTTACGCCCTTGATGCTAGTTGAGGCCAGCTTTTAGAAGGGCGTGCAGCTGTTCTAAGTAGTGATTGGGCCAAAAGTTACCTGCCCTCCTTTAAGCATGAGATAGAATCTAATTAACACTTTCTGAGCTGCTGATGTCTGTAAAAAACTTTTACTTGTTACACATGAGATATAAACCAGCAAATGCAATATGTAATCATGAGGTTTTTAACCAAACTTTAATTCATAATAATTAATTTCTAACATTAGCTTAGTATAAAGCAAAATTGTGCTAAGATAACCTAATACACTAACTCAGGGATAGGCAACCTTTGGCACTCCAGATGTTGTGGACTTCATCTCCGATAATGCTCTTACACCAATAATGCTGGCAAAGCATCATGGGAGGTGTAGTCCAAAACATCTGCAGTGCTGAGGTTTGCCTATGCCTGCACTAACTTATAGTCTCAACCTACAAACCACCTTGAACATTAAATAAAAAGTAATTTTAACACAACTAACAACTTTTTTTTAAAGTTGTTTTATTTTTTAAATTTTTTTTTTTTTTGCCTAATATTTAATGGTCAAATTTAAGCATTGAAGCAGTAATTTAAGTCATGGTGCAATTGCTTTTTAAATTTCATGATAAATTAACAACGGTTTCTGTTATATTTATTGCATCATTTCATTTGATCTGTTATTTAAACTCCATCAGCTCTCTCTGCATCACGTGGATTGCTGTTTTATTTAAACTTTGTCACTCTGTTTGCTCAGCTTCTGAATCACCCCCATTTTTCTTTTTTTTTTTTTTATACGATTACTAAAGCAGGTTTTTCCAGTTTAACAACAGGTGCGGTCTGGCCTGTCTTCAAAAAAATAAATGAAATAAAAACTTTTGTGTTTACTGCTCTCTTTTTCTTCCCCGATTATTGTTTTATGTTTATATACGTGTAGCAATTAAGGTGAATAAATATTTGACAGTTAAAGAAACACTCCAAGCTGGAAATGACACAACTGACAACTGTCTCTTAACGCCATCATGACAGCCCTTTTTTGAATCCCTGTACTATGTTTGTGTGTATGGGAATTGGGTAACAGCAGAATTTTTTGCAAACTCTCTACTTTTATAAAACCGAGACAGAAAAAGACAGAGACATCATTCTGCCCTGTAGAAGGAAAAGGAGCATAATTGTTAAAAAAAAAATTTTTTTAAACCTATAAAAATGTGTAGTATATTATAACATAGAGATTGCATTGAGATACTAAATATTTTAATGATAGTTATTTATTTTAAAGAAATTATATGCCCATCCCTGAAAAAAAACTTCAGCTCATTAAAGTTGTTAAGGTATGCGCTATTTATCTCAATGGACAACAATTGATAGGTTGCTACCGGGCAAAATCTCTTTTATACTTAACAGTCTAATAATAATAACTAGTATTTTTATAGCGCCTTTCTCCCAGTGGGACATAGCGCATGCTCTCGGAATTAATCAAATCGGCAGCTGAATAGTAATGTTGTTATTACCCAATTGATGGTACTCATTTTATCGACATCTATGCTTGCCTTACATTTTATAGGACTCTCCTCAGGCTCCACCCCCCCAAAAAAATATATCACTGTTTAGTAGATATATACCAAATGAAAACAAGCATGGATTTAATTATGCATTTCTTCATTTGGGGTATTGATAAAAACAACTTGCAAAAGCTACAGTTCTCTTGTCTGCTGCCCTTGCTAGCCTTCTCTTTCTTTTCCAGAGAATATTTTCTCTCCTGACTGTGCAAACACTGACTTTTTAATGCAACTCAATGAGAAGTATTTGCAAGACAGGTGCTCTGGACAATGGTCTGCCTCTTGAATTTAGCTTCATTGAGCTAAACAACCAGGAAGAAACAGGGCCTGCTGTCTGATTGACAGCTAGGAGGGTGTAACAATCTTAAAGCACCACTATAGTGCCAGGAAAACAAACTGGTTTTCCTGGCACTATAGGGTCATTAGGTCCCCCCACCCTCAGTGCCCCCCTCCTGCTGTGCTGAAGGGGTTAAAACCCCTTCAGTCACTTACCTTTTTCCAGCGCCATGCTGCCATGCTCCCTCTGTGCTGGGTAACTCTCCTCCCCCTGCCGACGTCAGATCCGAATGCGCATGCGCATTAATCATTGCTTTCCTATGGCCGAGAACCGCGGAAGTGCCACTAGCGGTTTGCGCAAAGTTGTCCCAGATATTCTTGGCTTCAGTTCTTGGCTTCAGTGGTAGGATTAGATGTTATGGAGGAGTTTGCAATTTGTTCATAGTCCCAGTTGAGAGTTACTTGTTCCCTTAAGGCTCTTTTGCTCGGGACTTTAATTGTTTTCCAGGCTCTCGCGAGCAGCGTATTCACTGCTATCAAGATTTGGAAAGTGAGTTTAGTCTGTGGTCTGGGTGTGCCTGCTGGCAGCATGAACAAGATACATTGGTCTGGTGTGTGTCTTTGCTCTATTTGCGTAATGTTGGACACTTCTGTAGTGATTATTTTTGAAGGCTCGGGCAGGACCACCAGACATGTAGCATTGTTCCCACCCTCCCTCCCCTCCCACCTTCCGCATCTCCAACATTTGTATGACACCTTGGGGTACATGCGGGCAAGTTTTTCAGGTACGTAGTACCATCGGTACAAAATTTTCTTCATTAACTCATAGTGTGCCATGTACGCTAGTAATTTATTTGGTAGATTGAACATGGCCTGCAGATCCGTGAAAGGTATAATTTTGTTGCCATGAAGCAACTGACACAAGCGTTTACAACCCTGCTTAATCCATGGTTTATGGTCTAATGTTGGTACCTGGGTGCTTACACTCTGTATTAATGTGGCTAGGGGTGTTGGTCCGTAAAGTAGCCAATATTCCTTTATTAAAAGGAATAAAATAGTATAAAATTATATAAAATTCATCCACAACACGTTTCAACACACAGGGCTTTATCAAGTGGAAGTAAACTAATTGGGCTGCATGCTCTACACTTTAAAGGCACTCTACAAATACATAAAGCACTTCAGATTGGAATACAATTTATGGTGGGGTGACTTGTAGAATAATTAAACTGCATCCTCAACCTTTTAAAGCAACTCTACAAACACGTAAGGTGCTTTGCTTGCTGAAGAGCTTAATGTGTAAAGAGTGTGTCCTTTTTGAATTTTTTATAAAAGTTGTGATTTCGATGGCAAAATGTCAAGTGATCATTCAGAGTTGCTGTATCTCTCGTGCAGAGGAAACATTCCAGAACCTATTAACTGGGCACTAATTATAATTTAGTGGGGGGAGCTAATTTCCTCACTCCAAGCCCCCACTCCATGCATCCATCCATCATCCATCAGCTCCAAAAAGGCCAAATAAAAATCAATCCTCTTTAAAAAATATAAAAAATGGCAGATCAACAATCACAGCACTCTAAAGACTTTTCCCACTTTTAAGCCGTATGTTCCCCCTTTTCTTTTATTAATTAATCCCCACCTGATGGCCATGCATGGGGCAGGGGTGTGGGCAGTGATCCATACAACCTCATTGCTTATTTTAAAGTCCCCCACCTGATGCCCATGGGTAGTTGTACAGCAGTGGTGTATTCTGGTTTTGGCTGCTCAGGCGACCCCAACCCCCCCCGACCCCGCACGTGACCCCCACCCATCCCTTCCCCCCCACCCCGCCTTCTAAATACACACACACACACACACACATTCACTGACAGATACGCATACACTAGCTAACAGAAACACACACTCACTGACACACACAGACACACACTCACTCACTAGCAGACACACACTAGCAGACACACACACACTCACTGACACACACACTCACAGGCAAACATACACGCAGTCAGACACACACACACACAAAACACACAGTCACTCATTAGCAGACACACACACTCACTGAAACACACACTCACTAACAGACACACACACACTCACAGGCAAGCACACACTCACTAACAGACACTCACACATAGACACACACTCACACACTAGCAGACACACACTAGCAGACACATCCACACTCACTGACACACACACTCACAGGCAAACACACTCACACTAACAGTCAGACACACACACTCACTAACAGACACACTCACTAACAGACACACACACTAACAGACACACACACTAACAGACACACTCACACACACACTAACAGACATACACACACACTCACTCACATTAACACATTTATTTTTTTTAACCCCCAGCCTCCTTACCTTTGGGACCTGGGGGTCCAGTGGCTGCTGGGCGGGCGGGCGGCTGGCGAGGGAGCACTTCCCCTGAGCACTCTGCTCAGCTCCCTCGCGCCTCAGAGTGAGGCTGGGAGCCAGAATATGACGTCATATCCGGCTCCCAGCCTCACTCTGCGGTGTGCGAGGGAGCTGAGCAGACCGCTCAGAGGAAGAGCTCCTTCGCCAGCCGCCCGCCAATGCCGCCAGCATGTCAGTTAGCCGCAAGGCTAACAAGGCATTTGCCCTGGGCATTTGGGGGGTGGCTTTTTTTAAAACGTCCCTGGTGTACAGCAGCATATGATTATGAGCCATTTGGTACAGGGCCATTCGAACTTTAGTGAATAACCTTCACTTTTGTTTCTGTCCATACTGCCATAGCCACAACTCCGCTGACTGTGGCTTACACAGCTTGCATAAAAAAAAAAGGTTTCATTTTCTCATACTCTGTAAATAGAACTTTAATCACACACATGAGGCTCCTGCAGGTTCTAGAAGGCTATTAACAGAACAGGAGATAATACATTCTAAATTAAACTGACTGCGCAATAAATTAGGTTTAAGAAAGCTGTGCAAGTCACGTGCAGGGAGGTGTCACCAAGGCTGCACAAACAAAGTGATTTAACTCCTAACTGACAGTGAGAAGTGAACATAATACTGCATGGGCGTGATCTATACACCAAAACTGCTTCATTAAAGGACCACTATAGTGCCAGGAAAACAAACTTGTTTTTCTGGCACTATAGTGCCCTGAGTGTGCCCCCACCCTCAGGGTCCCACTCCCGCCGAGCTGAAGGGGGAGGAAGGGGGCTAAACACTTATCTTTCTCCAGCGCCGGGCTCCCTCGGCGCTGGGGACTCTCCTCCTCCTTCGGTCGTCATCAGCTGAATGTGCATGCGTGGCAAGAGCCGCGCGCGCATTCAGCCAGTCCATAGGAAAGCATTCTCAATGCTTTCCTATGGACCCTGTCGTCTTCTCACTGTGAAAATCACAGTGAGAAGCGTGGAAGCCCTCTAGCAGCTGTCAATGATACTGCCACTAGAGGCTGGATTAACCCTACAGTAAACATAGCAGTTTCTCTGAAACATAGCAGTTTACAGCAGGCCTGGCACTAATGGACCTGGCACTGCTATGTTTACAGCAGGCAGGGTTAACCCTAGATGTTCCTGGCACCCAGACCACTTCATTGAGCTGAAGTGGTCTGGGTGCCTATAGTGGTCCTTTAACCCCTTAAGGACCAAACTTCTGGAATAAAAGGGAATCGTGACATGGGTTAAGCTAAATTTGTTTTGGTGCCTATAGCATACCTTTAAGCATAATCAAATCCAATACGGAAATAAGCTGGTGAAAAGAGAAAACTTGTAAGATATTTACAATTATGGATGGTTTTCAAACGAATGCAAGGAAAATGCTCTGGGAAGGATACATAGGCTAATAGTGTGGGTTATCTAGTTGGTATGGTATTGATAAGATGATAATGTGTATACTACATTTAGTGTATGTATGAGAAGAATAAACATTGTAAGGAATGTATAATAATATTGAGATGGAAGTGAGAGCTTCTTTGTGAATATAGGTAAGATTCCTAGAGCAGGATTGTGATATTTAATAGGTAAGGCACATACAAGAAAATAAATAAGTTTTTAAGCACATGACAATTAATACTTTGCTTGTAGCCATTACCCTAATAAGAAATGATTTTTTTTAGCTCAACTGAACAAAATTCCTGAATTATTAATATCTTATAAACTCAGTCTGCCACACACCTGTTTGTTAAAATGATCTTACTAAATGTCTCCTTCTGATATTTTTTCAGCTACCCAATATGTTTGGAAGTTTGCGTTCCACCATGATGTCCTTAATGATTGGATCCTATGCTTCCTCTGCAATCACTTTTCCTGCACTGAAGGTACATGTTCTTTCATATCATTAAGTAGGCATAACTCTAACTATAAAACCTGTTTTTTTCTGTAATGCAAAGTTAAATAACCCAATGGTTGTGTACACAGACATGCAGTGATGTTTTAAGGTACTTAAGTTTTAGGGAGAATGCAACAGAAGAGTAAAAAAAAAAAAAATGTTGATGTTTACAATAATAATGTAAATTGTACTGCTATTTTAATTCAAAATGTATCAGGAAATTGTACATTAAAAGTGCGGAAAAATAAAATGGTGTGGCAGGTTTAAATAATCAAGATTGAAATAAATATGTTGGGCAAAATACCCATAAGGTATAAGCATTATCAAATGGTAAAATCGGAGGTATATATATATATATATATATATATATATATATATATATATATATAGTGATGTCGCGAACATAAATTTTCGGTTTGCGAACGGCGAACGCGAACTTCCGCAAATGTTCGCGAACCGGGTGAAACGACATAGACTTCAATAGGCAGGAGAATTTTAAAACCCACAGGGACTCTTTCTGGCCACAATAGTGATGGAAAAGTTGTTTCAAGGGGACTAACACCTGGACTGTGGCATGCTGGAGGGCAAAACTCCCATGGAAAATTACATAGTTGATGCAGAGTCTGGTTTTAATCCATAAAGGGCATAAATCACCTAACATTCCTAAATTGTTTGGAATAACGTGCTTTAAAACATCAGGTATGATGTTGTATCGATCAGGTAGTGTAAGGGTTACGCCTGCTTCACAGTGACAGACCAAACTCCCCGTTTAACGCACCACAAACAACCGCAAACTCCCCAAAAGTCCATTTGCACAACCGCAAACTCCCGATTTGCACAAGGTTGGATATCAAGCTAACCATGTCCCGTTCCTTGTCCTCACTGATGACATTGAAGGTCTCTTCCTCCACCCAGCCACGTACAACACCAAGGGTCCCCAAAAGGTGACAACAAGCCCCCTGGGACGCCTGCTGTGTTTGGTCTTCCACCTCCTCAAAGCCACCTTCCTCCTCTGACTCCTCTTCTTCAGACTCCTCTCTCTGTGTTGCCTCTGCGTTATTATAAGGTGTGTTAAGTATTACTATTCCTATCAGTTTAATCCCTGTTACGTCCCCTATCAGGGGACGTGCATATGGCATTGATTTTAGGAACCGTGAGATGGAAAAAGATGCTTGGTCGGTCCTCCTACTTCAAATTTGGGGCACTGCGCGTGCAATCTAATGTGCCACCAGATAGGAGTGGTGTGTTAAGTAGTACTATTCTTATCAGTTTAATCCCTGTTACATCTCATCATGGAAGAATAAAAAGGACAAATTTGGGGCACTGCGCGTGCAATCTAATGTGCCATCAGATAGGAGTGGTGTGGTAAGTAGTACTATTCTTATCAGTTTAATCCCAATGTCACGACTACAGACTAAAACATATACATAGGCAAGAAAAGGAAAATAAAAGACAGAGCGTAAACCGGACCTTAGAATGGCCAGACTAATACGCTAGAGACAGAGAATGGTCAAAGGGAAAGCCGAGGTCAATGAAGCCAGAAAATACACAATACCGTTTATACAAGCCAAGTCAGGGAAGCCAGAATTCAGAATAACCAGGGAAAAGCCAAGGTGCGTCAAGGTTCCGAGTGAAAGCTGTAGAAGATTGGGTGTCCTGTGTTAGCCAGTCAACTATGTCCTCAGAACTTTTCGAGTTCAGGGTACGTGGCCTCTGAACACTGGGCATTATTCTAGGGCCAAAGGGAATCACAGCACCACGACCACGACGGCCCCTGCGGGGTGGCCTGCCTCTGCCTGTCATTTTTTTTCGATTAGTGGTACTATGCGTGCAAGCTACTGTGACAACAGATATGAGTGGCACTGTGCAGTGGCAGAAGTTGGCAGAGTAGACGCTGTAGGCCTGACACACACACTTGCAGACAACTAACTGCTATTCAATCTATTACAGTCAAAATTGTATTTTTTTTTTTTTTACATGTACACTACTGTTACACCAGATATGAGTTGCACTGGTGTGACACTGTGCCCTGGCAGGCCCTGAAACGCACACCTGTGAAGGAAACTGACTGCTATTATATTACAGTCCAAAAAGTTTTTTTTTTTCTAAATGCAAGCTATTGTGACACCAGTGAGTGAGTGGTGGCATTGGGCAGGCCCTGAAACGCACACTCGTGAAGGAAACTGACTGCTATTATATTACAGTCCAAAAAGTTTTGGGTTTTTTAAATGCAAGCTATTGTGACACCAGTGAGTGAGTGGTGGCACTGGGCAGGCCCTGAAACGCACACTCGTGAAGGAAACTGACTGCTATTATATTACAGTCCAAAAAGTTTAGTTTTTTTTTAAATACAAGCTATTGGGACACCAGTGAGTGAGTGGTGGCACTGGGCAGGCCCTGAAACGCACACTAGTGAAGGAAACTGACTGCTATTATATTACAGTCAATTTTTTTTTGTTTTTTTTAAATGCAAGCTATTGGGACACCAGTGAGTGAGTGGTGGCCATGGGCAAGTGGGCACAGTATATGCTGTGAGCCTGACACACAGGCTGGCAGGCAGGCAACTGCAATTACATTACACAGAAAAAAAAGCAAACTGATGTTCTATCCCTAAAAAGGGCTTTTTGGGGTGCTGTCCTTACAGCAGAGATCAGATGAGTCCTTCAGGACTGTAGTGGACACTGAATACACTAGCCTAGCTATCAATTTCCCTATCAACTCAGCACCAGCTACACTGTCCCTCCTCTCACTAAGAATGCAGCTTCACAATGCATGTAAAATGGATGCTGTCCAGGAGGTGGGAGGGTCTGGGAAGGAGGGTCTGCTGTTGATTGGCTGGAATGTGTCTGCTGACTGTGAGGTACAGGGTCAAAGTTTATTCAATGATGATGAATAGGGGGCGGACCGAACAGCGCATATGTTTATATATATATATATATATTTTTTTATTATATAATTTTTAAGTTACCCACATCACAGTGTAGCAGAAAGATTGTATGTAAAACTGCTAAGGGGCTTTCATATTAGGGAATCTCAACAGAATTGCCATCAGTTTTCTATGGTTAAAACATACCAAGACTTCGATAGCTATAAAGACTGGTGGATGCATCCTTCCTAAAGCAGACAAAAACTACCAAACTAATCAAAAAAATGTTTTCCTGTGCTTCATATGTTTCAGCTGATGTTGTATATCGTAAAAGGGATGTATTATTTCCCAGGATTTTTAATAACACCATCTAGATCAGTGTTTCCCAGCCCAGTCCTCAAGACCCACCAACAGTCCAGGTTTTGTCAGTATGTCCATTGGAATAAAAAAGGGAATATTTGCAGTGGAGGTGATTAGTATGCAGCTATATATCCACAAAACATAAAGACTAGGTCAGGAAAGGGTACAGGGAAGCAGCATCTTCTGGATGTCCTCAAACTAATATGGTGGCGAGTCAATATAAAAAATATGAAGACAGAAAATAGTATATTCTATAGGTGGTGAGGTCCCCCTCCTGTTTCTCTGAAACTGCTATGTTTGCATCTGAAGGGTTAAAACCTAAGAGACCTGGCACCCAGACCACTTCATTGAGCTGAAGTGGCCTGTGTGACTATAGTGTCCCTTTAAAGAAATAAAAATGATAGTAGTAAAACAAGTTCTCTTCATAGCAGAGTTTGAGATAGTAGCATAAAAGGAACAGTACTATCTGTCACATTTATCCTTCTGTATCCCTTCCTACTCGTGGTTTGATGCCAGAAGCCAGACTGGGCACGCTCTTCCTCCTCCCTCCGCCCTGTCCTCAATGTGCCCCCACTAAATTGTGCTCACTGAGCAGTAAGACATTTTCAAAGTTGTCAATCTGTGTTGCAATTGCTTTTCCAGATGAAAAGAAAATATAATTTAAACCCTTTACATGCAATGTCAGCTTTCGCAATATATATATGACAAACCACAGCACCAGTAGATAAACTGTAAATCAGATTTATTTTACTCTCACCTTCTCTCTTGCTAGTGTGAGGATGTGAAATTCATAACTTTCCCTGATTAGCCAGTTAACAACGTTAGGACATTTTATTACATCCTAGCTATACTACACTTTAATGCCTTTGGGGCATAATGACATGTCCTGCAGATTTGGAGTGAACAATGTTAAATATCTGCTCACACCACAGAGCCCCAAGCTCCTTCTATCTGCTGGGACCATATTTAGTGGATCCAGACTTTCTAATGAGCTGTTTGCAGCACCAAAGACTGCCAGGGCTGCAAATAACTCTTTCAAAACTTTTCAAAAATAACCATTCAAAACTTTAGTGAGAGGAAGAGCAAGAGAGGGACACAGAGTGCGGAAGAGATATGAGGGAATAGGATCGAGGAAACAGGTGGTGGGGCGGGAGGACCGGAGCAGAGCGGAAACCTCTTCTGTTGTAGTAGGTGCGAATGAGCATAGAACAGTGGAGTGAGTGGGGTTGGGTGATGTATTGGAAGATGTATACGAAGGGGAGGGAGAGAGATTAGAGATCTCTTCCCTGATTGTAGAAATCTCAGTGAAGTGAGTTGCAAAGTTTGAGGCGGACAGGGTGGTAGGAGGAGGGGGGAGCAACAGGGCGAATGAGAGCATTAAAAGTGTGAAATGAGCATTTGGGTTGGTGGGACAGTGTGCTTATCAGGGTGTTAAAGTAATTTACTTTTGCAGAGGAAAGAGCCAGAGTGTAGGAGCACAGCATAAATTTATAGTGGATGAAGTCAGGTGCAGAGTGAGACTTTCACCAACAGCGTTCAGCAGTTCTGGAACATATTTGGAGATATCGGGTCAGCTTGGTGTGCCAGGGTTTTAATTGGGAACGCCTGCTGCATTTACATGTAGGAGGTGCCATGCTGTCTAGTTGAGAGGAGAGAGTGGAGTTGTAGAGTGAGGTTGCAGAGTTAGGGCAAGTGAGATTTGAGTTGGGTAAAAGGAGAGTTTAGAGTTTGGTGGAGAAATGCTGGAGATCAAGGCTGTGGAGGTTTCTGCGAGATTGGAGAGTTGAGGGTGGTGAGATTTGGGTATGGGATATGCAGATGTCAAAGTTCAGCAGATGGTGGTAAGATAAATGAATTGCCATACATGCGCATTAGGTCTTTCCCGTCGGCTGACGTCAGAATTGATATTAGCACTGGATTACTTTAGGATTAGTTTTGGGGTTGGTGGTAGGGTTAGAATTATGTTAGAATTAGTTTCCGATTTAGGGGTAAGTGTAAGCTCCTGTTAGGGTTAGGATCTTCATGCAAATTGGTTATGGTAATGGATAGTGTAAGGTTAATGGTTAGATTTGGATAGACATATGGTTAGCATTATTGTAAGCATTGGTTAAGGGATATGGTTGGTATAGTGTTAGTTTTTAATTAATTGCACTGATGTGTTAAAATTATTATAAACACAAATGTGTAGAAACAAAATCAAAGTTTTGTTTTAGTGCAGAATGTGGATAATTGCCTCCATCCTTAAGAGGTCATAGAGATGTAGACAGCAGGACTCAGTTGGCCTAATGATTACACAAAATAAAATACCTAGTGCTAAATACATAAACAACTTGAATCCCAATGTAATGCTCACAGACTTATAACAACCCTTACTTCTTTATTCTACAAATAGGTCTATAATATTTGTTTTTCCTTATTGGTTTATATATAAAATGCTTACTGATTTAAAAAAACAAAAAAAAAACATTTGTGTATCATGTACAGCCTGCAGTCTATGTTAATTATCAGCCAATTATCAGCCAAGGTGTTTTCTCCATCTAAAGTATATATTACATTTATACTGCCGTCCCACTTATGCTTGAAACTGTACCATCAATGTTACATTAAACTTTAAACCTTTTGTTTGTTTCTGCAGTTGATATATGAAGCAGGTGTCTCATTCGTGGGAATTATGTTAGGCTGGTCTGCTTTAGCCTGTCTTATTTTTCTCAACTGTCTTATCAACTGGCCCAAGGAATCCATCCCATCACCTGAAGAGACTGCCTATAAGTGAGTAACCTATTGCAGAAGAATTGTTACTATTTTTTAATACTATAACACAAGTACCCATCTAAATTGAAGCATCTAAAATAAGAGAAGATAATGCTGAAATGACCTAAAATGGGACCTCTGGTGGTAACTCTTAAAATAGATAATAAACCAGATTATTATATATATAATATATATTATTTTAAAGCTTTGGAATATTATCTCATCAAATTAACAATATATAGATTTTTACATGACTTAAAATAAAAAATATATATTGTTTCTGATTTACTTCACTGATCCTTAGTGATATAATTTAGTATAGTTCATGGTTGTTAATTAATCTTTCAAAACTCACAGCTATAAGCTGTGTGAGCTGTAGCTTTACACCAAAAAATGTCTGAACATGAGCAAAAATACCAAACTCCCAAACTTTATATAAATGTAGTTGTTTCAAAAGTATTCCCTGCTTCCAACATAAACTTATTTTATCTGTATCTCACAGGAAGAAGGTCACCGTGCATACTACAGCTTTAGACCACAAAGTCACAGGAGACCAGGCTTACACCCATGTCACCTCTGTTGGTCAAAGGTTAAGTCGGATAGGACAATCTGAACAAGAGCACTTATCCAGTGAAGATCTGACTAAGTCAGAGAAAAGCAACGGTGAGGACAATATTCCCCAATGTGCATTCAAGTGATTAAGAACATCTATTACTTATATGATCTGAACACCTGCATTACCTGTTAGATGTTCCCTTTACTATTTTACTTATGAAACAGGGTTTAATAATCTCTCTTCTTTATTTCACAGCTCCTTCACCTACTTTCCTGCAAAGTGTACGCTCCCCTATCTTTTTGTTCTCTCTGATTACCATGATGATGACCCAACTCCGCATTATTTTCTTCATGGCATCTATGAATAAGATGCTTGAGTACTTGGTGATAGAGCATCAAGACAATTGTAAGTGGGATTTATTTTGAGGAGAGACATTTTGGTTTATTTTGCTGCAAAAGCACATTTGATTGTTTTAACTTCCTAAAAATTAGAACCTGCTCATTTTTCTTTTTAATTTGTGAGCGTTACTGATATATTAAATGCATGATCTGTGTAGTCAATGCAATGCAATCTGCTCTAGTGGTTAAGATGCCAGGAATGCCCTGGCAACCCCCTCATGTAAGTACTTCAAACATTTAGTAATGGTTTGACATCTTACCTGGGGTCTGACAGGCACCATTCATGCCCTCTATGCATTGGCATATTCTAAGTGTGTCAAGTCATTCAGGCACTACATAATTGAAGAACTGATTAAGAAATGTACTAAGTCTGCAGTCTGCTAGATTTTGAGGAAATGCAGACATCTGCAAACTGTGCTCAGTAGTCCTAATGAACATTAATATTGTGGTTTTTTTTTCTACTTTCCAGCTGATAAAGACATAAGGGTAGAAATAACTTCTACAGGTAAGAGAACTATATAAATCATTTAGTATTTTATTCTTGTAATATTACTCAAAAGCATAAAGTTTCAAATCTACATTTCCAATTAATGCATTTGATTGTTTTTGGTTTTGAATTAAAAGCTGCTCATTAAGTGCTATTAGGACTACGACTGTGTGCATACTTTTGATAAGGAAGTCTTTCTGGCATGAGGGACGTGTCCAAGGAGGCAGGCTTATGGTGCAGAATTCTGAAAAACATTTATTTGGTCTTGTGTGGAGTTACTATAAAGGTTTGAGCATGGAAAAAATACAATATATAAACGGGGCCAAAATCTATCAAAGGCATTAACTTTGGTGCTTTGAATGTCCCTTTAAGTGCCAAATTTATGGGGATATATGATAAATATTTGTGACAGTTTTCCACAGCATGTGTTTACTATGAGGAAGAGGTACCATAACCATCTTACTCCATCTGAACTATTATCACTCCAAGTCAGTCTGGATTTGAATGTGGGATTTCCCTTCATACATCTTGCTCCTGGACTCAAATCAGCTTTTTATCCTGTCTTTTAGCTGTTAGAGTCCAGATATCTTTATTCTCCAACCAACCACTAATTATTATATGTAGCCACATCATCTGGCAACCCAAGGAACAAAGTTACGCAATATGAACTAACTAGGATTAACCTCACCTCAGCATGAAAAGGTTAACACAGGTCAACAGTGGGATTAATATTAAACACAACGGTTTTGGACCTGCAATTAACATACTCAGATTTTCATCCAGAATAAAAATTTTAATAGATTGTTTTAGAACTGTTTAGTTGGTGTGCCTATAACTGTAATCATACGGACTTATTTTCCCACATAGCTAGTCATGTATGGATTAACTCACCTATAGAACTCTGTGGTGATTTACCACTTGTGAAACTTTGTCATGTCATGTCCTGTTCTGTTTTAGTATACTCTGCATGACTCTAAATGACCCATAAAAAGTTATTATGTATTGTGTGTGGTATGGTTCACTGAGGGTTAATTTTATGTTTATTCATTGTAATATCCGATTTGTTGAAGCAGATATAGCCCTTGTTCCTTGTACCTTCTACGGATATCCAGCTGTCTGCATTCCCTTTCCTCCATAACACTCATACAAAATCTAGAGCTCCCCTAGAGACTTGTTTGGCAAGCCTCCTAGAAGCTTCCATTAGGCCAGTAAGCATATAAGCCAAGGACCTACGTCCAGAACATACTGCTTTGCCTGATAGGGCTTGGAACAAGAGGCATACCCCCCTCCCATACTGTCTAGGATCAAATCCATCCAGAATTAAAAAAAACAAAGCAACAAAAAAAGTCAATATTTAGTAACTGTTTTAGTTGTAAGAACTAAATTGAGGCCTTTGTCACTTGCTATGTTCGTGTGAACAAGTCCTCTCGATCGCCATCCACAATAGCAACTTTCTGTCCCTATCTCAATCAATACTCTATATTTCTAGGGGTCAGTAAAATAACCTACTAAAATTACCTCCATGTTCCCTTCCCCTGTCAACTATTTACACTTTAACAACATACACTTTCACATCTTCTTCCATAACTGCATCAGAAAATGATTCCCATTTTTCAAACACAATCCCCAATGTTAGAGGATCTCTCTCTACCTGTTTTTTTTTTATACCTTCCCTCTCTCTCTATCCTCCTTGAAAAACATATTTGAGAATGATTTTGGCCATCATAAAGCAACCCCATGCTACCAGCTCCCTGCAAACCAGATCTGAAAATTTCTCTTGTCACCTTACTATATTCATTTGAATGTATTTATCCTCAGTTTTTAGTTAATGACTGTATTCTTGCTGCTATACCAAATCCTTTAAAATGGATTGTTCTTGTTCTGTCTAGTAATTTCTGGTCTTGCTCCCTTCTCCTCTAATTGCTTGCACTTTGTTCTGGCTGTCCTGTCTGTCCGTGAAACAGAACCAGGACCTAACAGGAACAGAAAAGTTGGTGCCTGGCTTGGGATCCAAACAGTGTCTTGAGATGCTGTTTGTTCCTTCTCAACACCAGGAGCCACATCTTCAGTGCTTCTAGCCAGACTTTCAGCGGAATTATTATGTACAAGTAGCAGCAGTTTTCTCCATATCCAGCTGACATTATACACAGCTTAGTGAAGTGAAATATATACTGATTTATTGGAGGGATCACATAGTTTATATACATGATAATATTTACACAATGAGAAGGGCACTGAAAATGCAGTCTCATCTCAGGTTCGTTTTCAGGCTGTGAGCTTATTTGAACCAATCTGAACACATTCTCTTAAAATAATGGCAAAAAGACTTGATGGAAAGTCATTGAGACAGGAGGGTGGCGGGGGATGTACACACAACTGAATTTTTCAAACTATAAACATAACTACAAAACACTTTCCGTATAGCACCTGGAGCAATTACGAATGCTATGTTCAAAGTAGCCATATTTTGACATTTGATAACTGGGTAGAAATATAAACATGTCCTGTCAAGGTATTTCATAATGTGATTGCTTTATGAATACTAATACTGATAATGCTTTATTTTGCAGTTGGACTATACTCTTCAGTTTTTGGAGTGATGCAGCTCCTGTGCCTTTTCACATGCCCTTTCATTGGCTTTGTAATGGACTGGAAGATGAAAGAAGGTGATGAAAGGTGAGAGTGAAAAGTAATCAAAGGAATAGGGAAATTCCAGGCAACATGAGTTGGGTCTAGTATAAGAATCTCACAATGTACTCCTATAAACTTTAGTTTTTCATACAAATGTAAGGAGACATAATTACAGTGAGTCTAGCTGATATTATTAGATTATTGGATTTAAAAAACTGAGATATTGGATAAAGTGACAATAAACAGATATGTGTTTTTATCTCCTGCTCTGTAAACTGAACTTTAATCACACACAGGAGGCTCCTAACAAAGCAGGAGATAAAAAATAAAAAAATAAACAGACTGTGCAATACAGGAACCTAAAATGTGCAAGCCACGTGCAGGTAGAAGTGCAGAAGAATTGAGCTTTACACCTAAACTGCTTCATTAAGCTAAAGTTGGTTTGGTGCCTATAGTGTCGCTTTAATTTAAACCCATTTGTTTATCAAAAAGGTGGGCAATTTCTATAGCTAAGCACACACATTTGGCTGGATTATCAAACAAATTGAAATGCTTCCACAATTTGTGTGGGACTTACATGCGTTACCTATTGGTTCCCCTATTTTAATATAGGGACTAAAATCCTGATGTAAATGTTATTTATACCACAAATACTGACTATTTGAGCATAGAGTAAAATGTGAATATGAAAATGTGATTTCATTTACTGTTATACATTATTATGTTATATATTTTCATATTCAACATTTTCTAGTCTCATACTATTTTTTGTTTCAATTACAAAGTTACATTGTTTATATCCCATTTTTCTTTGATTTTCTTAATTTGTTCCATTGCATATCGCTCTTTTTTTTTTTTTTAAAGCACAACATACTGTCCCATTGTTTTGTATAGTTTATGCTCAGGGTAAAGGATTTTCTGGCAGTATTGTCCGTTTTTCACCTTACCCATCCACATCCTCTTCGCTCTTGACCCACACCTAATTTTCACAGCTAATAGGAAATGTCTAAACTGCTTGTGTAGCGTAATATTTACTTCCTTTTTTTAAGGTCCAAAACCATTCAGAAACTCACCAATGCTACCCGGGCTTTCATTTTTACCAACATTTTGCTTATTGGATTTGGAATTACCTGTCTAATTCATAATCTACAAATGCAGGTATTATTAATTTGCAATATTATTCTAGATGTTACGTTCATGGATCATGCTTGTACCTAAATAATGCCTTGATGCCTTCGTTTACAATAAGGAGTCATCAACTACAACACCAAGATGCTAATTATTTATATTTGCACGATTATCGAGGCTATTTATGGAACTCTAAGATACACAATGGTGAATAATAGCACTTTGGGGTTATAGAATAATCTTTGGTGGCATAAATTCTGATCTGCCTCAGATTAGTGGGAGTTGCACTCTTAGGGTTTTGTCTAATCTTGCTACTTTATACCTGCCAACTATTAATCACTAACGTGCCTGTCACTACAGTTAGTGAGTAGCTGTTGTTTAACGACTGCAAACTTTAACCACTTTTTGCCAGGCAAGGGAGTTATTGCTGATGCAAATTAAAACTGTCTCTAAATCATGGCTAGCAACTTCTATTATTATCTATGGGAGTTTGTAACTGCTGCTTAGAAAATTGGGCAGATTAGATGGTCCGAATGGTTCTTATCTGCCATTTTATGTTAGCAACTAGATTCTGGTTTGGTTTCCAACCCTATCGCTTCTATTTAACAGCTGCTGCTAACGTGCCTGTTGCATGGAAGTTAAAAAATGCTAATTTCCCATACAAATAGAAATACATGTTAAAGGAGTACTTAAAGGACCACTATAGTGCCAGGAAAACATACTCGTTTTCCTGGCACTATAGTGCCCTGAGGGTGCCCCCACCCCCAGGGACCCCCTCCCGCCCGGCTCTGGAAAGGGGAAAGGGTTAAAAACTTATCTTTTTCCAGCGCTGGGCAGAGAGCTCTCCTCCTTCTCTCCTCCTCCGTTCCTCCTCCTGGGCTGAATGTGCACGCGCGACAAGAGCTGCGCGCGCATTCAGCCCGTCGCATAGGAAAGCATTTACAATGCTTTCCTATGGACGCTTGCGTGCTCTCACCGTGAAAATCACAGTGAGAAGCACGCAAGCGCCTCTAGTGGCTGTCAATGAGACAGCCACTAGAGGATTAGGGGGAAGGCTTAACCCATTCATAAACATAGCAGTTTCTCTGAAACTGCTATGTTTATTAAAAAATGGGTTAACCCTAGAAGGACCTGGCACCCAGACCACTTCATTAAGCTGAAGTGGTCTGGGTGCCTAGAGTGGTCCTTTAAATCAACCAATCCACTTTATCTCAATAAAGTGGTCCGGGTGCAGTGGTCCTTTAGTTTGAACCCTAGAATGTAAAACACTGCAGGTTTGTTACATACACCTCTGGTGGCTGTCTCAAGACAAACTCGAGAGATCCTTTTACTGCAAGAACCAAGTAAAACGTAGTCACGTGAGGTTGAAGCATTGGATGTGCATGTCATTCACCACGTATGTACATCAGGTCCCCTCTATGGGAAGCATTGGATTGGACTAGTGATGTAGGAAGTGACTCCTCTCGATGACATCGCGGGAAGTGGAGTTGTCAGGAAAAAGGTAAGTCTTGGGTGTAAAAAGCTTAAAAAAAATATTTCATAGCAAACTGGGTGCACGCTGAAAATTACTAGGGACACTGGCACTACAGCGTTATGAATACAGGTTTGTGTTCCTAAATCTATACACGGTTATTAACTAAAGTGAGAATTCAGAGTGAATTCAAAGTGATTTTCAAATTTAAGGCCAGAGCAACGAAACTGAAAATATGCCGACATAGAATTATTCCAGTTCAGCTATTTTCACCTTAAATTTGACATTCACTTTGAATTCAGTATGAATTCTCACTTGAGTGAATAAACTGATAGTGTTCCTTTAACTTTATGGCATTACTATGAAACCATAAAACATATATCAAAGCATATGAAGCCATGCCAAACAGCAGTAAAATTTAATAAAAGGCCAAACACATAAATCATTAAATTATTCTTTATGTACGTAAAGAGCATGTGCCATTTAAATTAACAAATAATATCAAAGACATGAACCTCACAAGTTAATAGATATGTATCTGGTATAGCATACAGCTCCATACATTATATAAACTTTCACTATCTCCGAGTCCTGCTAAAGTCAATCACGGGGTGAAGTATGCATGCTCAGGGTGAGCAAGAAAGTTGTGGATGCCATGATCACAACTTGTACAGCGTGTGTTTCTGTTCATTACCATTAAGTGGATAATCTACATATCTTGACAAGCAGATTTTATTGCTGGTAACCTGATAACAAATAGTAAGAAGATTGAAAAACAGTTAGTAATTAATGGCTTCTTCTGGAAATATAACAAATGTGTGCACAGTGTGGAAGACAATTGGTACGAAACTCTATACACCTCAAAGTGGTGTCCCCTTTACCACTTAAAAATCAACAATATACGTACATAAATCAGGTGGAGCTTCTTAAAATAACAGTATAACAGATATTCTGTAAAATAAAATATAGACCATAGTGCAATACAGTAGTATAAGTTAAATTAAAAGTATATATACGGTAGGTTTTCCACTCACAAACCTGGAGTCATAATCTCATATGACTCGGATGGTGTGTGCCTTTGGACCATTTCAGGATGTCCAAAATCCTTTTTCCTTGCAGGACTCTGTTGGTGGCCACTCCTAGCCAACTCACAGACAGAAAATGTCGGGTCAGCAGTAGGTTTCCACAAAAATATAATTTTATTCAAAATTAAAATAAAAGAATTATTGAATTAAAAATAAGTAAAAGCTTAAGTAGGGCTATATAGTCCTTTAAAATCCTTTAAAATCGCCAAAACGCGTTTCGCCTGGTACAACAGGCTTCCTCAGTCGGCTTAATTGTCCCCTGCTTAGTCTTTTCAATTTTAAAAAGTCCGCTTGTTTTCACTTCCGGGTTCCGGTTTCTGCCTCTATGGAACGCAATTATGCGTTCCAGTGACGTCGCTTCCGGTTTCGTCACTTCCGGTTCTTTTTTTCCGTCAATATGGGACACATTAGTTCCTCTTACATCACTTCCGCATTTCGGTCTCGATCAGTTGGTACGCATAATGCGTTCCACTGACGTCATCTCTCGGCATCTCTGTTATTTTCAAACAAACGGCATAATCTTCAATAAATTTACATGTTTATCATCAATTCTATTTGTATATCAATACTGGAAATCTATTTTGCATATGTATACATATCTATTAATAAACTCTATATACATTTAAAGTTTCTGCTTTATATACTGTAAAAGTGTCATACAAAAATAATTAACCATATAAATAATGCAACCTTTTGAAGTACTTATACAATATACAAGACATTTTGCCTAAAAGTGTTCTTATAAGAAGAGAATAATGTAGATGTTTCAAAATACTCTTACATTGTGTAAGTGATGTAAACTTTAAAGTGATCTTGTACCTTAAAGTGCTCTTCAAAGTGCTCTTATGGTGTTTTTTAAAAATAGTGTTTATGTACGTATAATGGCTTCTTCTAGCTAAAGGCTGTAAATAGGGATAGTTTATAGCAGCTATTTGCTGACAAAGGCTTTGTTCTAATGTTTTTGGGTAAGCTTTTCAAATTATTTAATATTTTGAAAAATATCTTAATATTCAGATTTTTTTTATACATTGCTATATATTTTAGATATATATATTTTTAAAATCTGAATATTTTCAAAAGATCATTTGAAACCTATATCCGATAACATCAATTTAAGGCTAAGTTTGGAAACGAGCTTCTAGGTGCTAAATAATGCTTGGATGGTGTCATCTACCACGGAATGTGAGGTTTGAAAACATGATCTACAGATTGAAATGAAATGAAAAAAAAAAAGGACACACTCTTCAGCCGTAAAGAACACTCCCCTTATGTATTTTAAATGTTCCTTTAATCTCCAACATGTGCATTGCCATAATCTCACCACAAACAGTTTATTTTATTTATATTGTGTCTTTTTCAGTTTCTTTCATTTGTTCTTCATACAATGGTCAGAGGTTTTATCCACTCAGCCTGTGGAGGATTATATGCTGCTGTGTAAGTATGCACTGTCATAGACACTTGACATAGCACTGTCAAGATTTGCATGCATGTGATGATGTTTAATAGTCCTTGTGATCTCTGCATATCTACTACCGTGCTTGTATGACACACATAGTAATTGTTAGCTCTATAGCAATTATCTTAAGTGACATTGACTATGGCCAGCTGCATGTTTGGAGGAGAGAATGCAAATGCATTATATTTGCTTTTGCAGTATACTTGCATAGATACATTATGATAACTACAATAGATAAAGTGTGGTATTTGCTCAAATAAATAAAATGTGGTAAAAATATACAGTCTCTATGTAGAGGATCAAGGCGAAAGGATGATCCTCACCTTAATGGTAGATTGACAGTCCGAGGTACAGTCTTTCAGGGAACAGGAGTGGATGTCAAACGCAAAAGACATAAATGCAACACAGAAAAATCTTATAGTGTAGTATCCAAGAGAAGCGGTAAATGTAATAAGAGGACAAATGGCCATTCACTTTTATTTTTCCATTCATATGTTTACCATTACAAGATATATTGGGAGGACAACTATTGTAGAGATTATACAGAAACCTTTATATTGCAATACATCAGTTTTATTCTGAAATATTGGTGTGCACAGGCAAAACAGTAGGGGGGATTCACAGTTGCTGGTGAAGCCACCTCTAGGAAATGAGTTTTTGCATGTTGGGATGTCTGAGTTTGCATCTGAGGAGTGGCCACTAGAGATGTTCCTAGGAAAATGCAGTGTTTACAGCAAAAAACCTAAAGGGATAGGCTATAGACCCCAGAACAACCACATTAAGCTGTAATTGTTCTGATGACTGTGGTGTCCCTTTAAGTTTTTTGATCCTATCAACTACTTACCGTATATACTCGAGTATAAGTCAACCCGAATATAAGTCGAGACCCCTAATTTTATGAATGCAGTGTGTGTGTGTATGAATGCAGTGTGTGTGTATGAATGCAGTGTGTGTATGAATTTTTAATATTTATTTATTTTTATATTATTTAAATTTTTATGTTATTTTTTTTTTCACCCCCCCTCCCTGCTTAATACCTGGCCAGGGAGGGGGGCTCTCATTCCCTGGTGGTCCAGTGTGTAGGAGGGGGGTTGGCAGGAAGCATTTGCTTACTTTTCCTGCAGCTCCTATCAGCTCCCTTCTCTCTCCTCCGGTCCGGTCAGCTACCCTGTCAGCTCCACTGCCGCGCGGAGCGTTGCCACGGTAACCTGTGGCAACGCTCTGACCCAGCGGCTCTCGCGAGACTTGCAGTGGGAGCTGACAGGGGAGCTGACCTGACCGGAGGAGAGAGAAGGGAGCTGACAGGAGCTGCAGGAAAGGTAAGTAAACGCTTCCTGCCAGCCCCAACAGGACCGCTGGGCTTGTAATGAGCCCAGCGGTCCTGGTCTGTATTATGGCAATGTAAGTTGCCATAATACAGACACTCACTCGAGTATAAGATGAGTGGGGGTTTTTCAGCACAAAAAATGCTGTCTTATACTCGAGTATATATGGTATCTGGGTTCTGGTATGTGCTAAAAATATGCACAAAGTGAGCCAGAATGGAGAGATCTGTCTAACCCGAGCGTATTGTTGACTTATGTTTGATGAATCTTTCTCTCATTTTCTGCGTTGTCTCACCCACATTAAAGAGCATGTTTCACCCACAGTAAAGAGCATGTGCCATTTATGAACAAATTACCAAATCACGTTAGCATTAAAAATATACACAAAAAGCTGCGTTACACGTAATGTAATCTTTCATGCTGTATTTTCTACCATTGTTCATAGATTTACAGCTCAGGCAGACATAGGGAACATTTAATTTTTTTGCTGTACCTATTGTATATAGGAGGGTTTTTAACAGTAGACATATGTTTTCATCTTTCAAACATGCAGGTTTTTTTTTTAACGCAGCTATAGGGAGATTTAAAAGCTCAGGGCAATTGGATGATATTTTGACAGTACCTATCTAAGTACTTTTGAGTTGCAAATAAAAAAAAAAAAAAAAAATGAAAAATAAAGTATTTGCCTGCCAAGACCAATTTAAAAATTACTCCATCACTGCTTTCAAACCTGCTACATGTTTTATTGAAGTACACTACATTAAATGTTGCTAGTATAAGGCTCTCATCAAATCTTACCTTAGTCAATTTGTTCAAAATATGTCTTTTTTATATATGATGGTGAGAATAAAAAATATGGTCTTAAGAATTGGTCCAGAAATTGTGTTAATGGGGAAGTAGAAAACCTTTCCCGGTGACAATAGCCTACCCAGGGAACAACTCGCTATTTCTGAATATTTGATAGTATGTAAAGGAATGAACTGATAGAGTTTGCACTGTCAAAAACTTTATCAGTTCTTTGTCAATGATTTCCTGTCCCCATACCTTTACCAGTGTAGACTTACTCTAATTTTTAACATTTCTGTAGGGTTATGAAACAGCTTTCTATAAGTCTCATCTCCCGACTTTCCCAATACTTCTTTCACATAGTCTACCTAGATTGTTTTGGCAAATAATTACTATGTTGCTGCCTTACAGTACTGCTCATAAGAGTATTATGTACCTTTCAATGTAACCTTAAGGATTTTCTACTTCACCTTTGTCTATACCAGTGGTCCTCAACCCAGTACTCATGGACCACAAACAGCCCAGGTTTTGTCAGTATCTCCATTTGAAGAAAAAAGGGAAATACATAAATCCTGGTCTATAGAACCTTGAAAACCTTGCCAAACTATTATCCACATGGTGGATACAGGTGTAGACACCTATATTGACTATCATTTAACAGTTTTTTGATTTTGACTCTTCAATTCATTGTCTTACAGGTTCCCATCAGGTCATTTTGGCACGTTAACAGGGCTGCAGTCCCTTCTTAGTGCAGTGTTTGCTTTACTGCAGGAGCCTCTTTACAGAATAATGCTTGGACAACTAGACGGGAATCCATTCTGGGTATGAAATCTAATTCTGTTAAATTATTGCCTTAAATAGACTTTGTTAAAAGGAAACTAGAATGTAGCAAGAAAGAACCACACTCAATCCACAAAAGATAAGGGTAATAAACCAGACCATAGCCAGCACAATCCCAGCAAATGGAAATATAGATAATAGTAGCTTCAGGCACATTTAGTAGAACAAAAGGAACACTGCAACATTTAAAAGAACACTATAGGGTCAGTAATACAAACATGTATTCTTGACCCCATAGTGTTAAAAACACAATGAAAGTTGCTGGCCCCCACTTGCCTCCCTTAAACAGGTAAGAAACTTACCTTTATTCCAACGCTGTGCCGGGCTGCTGGAGCTGACTCTGCCCCCCATCCACCTCCTTCGGTAAAAATCAACCAGGATAGCAGCAGTAAAAATCAATAGAAGAAGGGGTAGAGATACTTTTATAACCCTTTCCAGCTTTATGCAAGTCAACAATTCTTAATCGTAGGTCTTCTGAGAGCTCTTTTGTGCGAGGCATCATTCACATCAGGCAATTCTTCTTGTGAAAAGCAAACCCAGAACTGGTGTGTGTTCTTAAACAGGAAGGGGTGCGGTCTTGCCAGGAAGGGGTTGGCCATATTTAGATTAGAGGTGCCCGAGCTTAGTCATGCCTAGGGCAGCACAAAACCAAAATACACCACTGGGGGTAGCGCCACGTGCCGGGCCGGTCAAAACTTTACCTCGATGGCATTTCCGTTTCAGCGAACCGACAGTTGATTTTGTTGGATTTTCTGTACCTGGGAGATAATTAAATTAGAGGATTTTTCTCACGCAATTATCTCTCAGGCACAGAGGATCTTTGGATTGAAACCCTTGTATTATTGTGTGGGGAAACCCCTTGTATGGGACTGGATATAAAAGCTGTGTGTTTGACAATAAACTTCAGTTGTGCTTCCAGAACTGTGTGTCTTCCAGTTGCTGGGGAGGAGTTGAGATATTTCTTTGGTGTTTTCTTGTTCCTGACTGTACTTTGGTAGATCCATCAGAGAAGAGTCCCTGCTAGGACTAGGGCTCTGCTACAACTTATACATACCTTTGCAAGAAAAAGTATGTGAACCCTTTGGAATTATATGGATTTCTGCACAAATTGGTCATAAAATGTGATCTGATCATCATCTAAGTCACAACAATTGACAATCACAGTCTGCTTAAATTAATAACACACAAAGAATGAAATGTTGCCATGTTTTTATTGAACACACCATGTAAACATTCACAGTGCAGGTGGAAAAAGTATGTGAACCCCTAGACTAATAACATCTCCAACATGACCAATTTGTGCAGAAATCCATATCATTCCAAAGGATTCACATACTTTTTCTTGCAGCTGTATATAAATGCATATTTTTTTCACTGTTATGGCAATAATAATGCATACATACTTGGTGCAGCTTAAGGGGACACTATAGACACCCAGACCACTTTAGCTCATTGAAGTGGTCTGGGTGCAGTGCCTCTGTCAGTTTAACCCTGCAAGTGTAATTATTGCAGTTATTGATAAACTGCTATAATTACATTGCAGGGTTAACTCCACCTCTAGTGACTGTCTACAAGACAGCCACTAAAGACGCTTAAAAGTCGTTAGGCGACTTTTGGTTGCCTAACTGACGCTGGATATCCTCACGCTCTGCATGAGGGCATCTAGCATCAGCTAAAACCCCAATGATTCAATGCTTTCCTATGGGGTAGTCCTAATGCGCTTGCGGTACTCACCATGCATGTGCATTAGGTCCGCCAACGTCAACCGATGTCAGGGAAGGAAAAGCGAAAGTGGAGCCTGACCTAGAGCCAGATTCAGGTATGTGACAAAATAATTATTAACCCTTTCTGCTCTGCGTGTGTGAAGAGGGGTTGAGGGGGGTACGAGCGAGTGGGCCTTCAGTTTCCCTTTCAGAAAAGTCATTCAAAATATATTAATGTATCTGTCTTGATTTGCAGAGTACATAATGTGTCTATAAATTCAGTTGATTTTTAGTCATTATAGGTTACAAGGAGTAAAATAAAATATCAATGCAGAGCAATTTTAAAATTTGGTATACCTGTCTTGTAAGCTTAGTCATAAAAGCACAGTTCAAGTAAATCACTGCTCACTGCAAAGAGCCAACTCAGGTTATAGCAGTATACGCCATGCTGTAGGATTACAGGGATTAATCATAGTAGATGTGTCTTATTTTTTAACTTTCCATATATGGTTTATATACATATCGTATATCACTGAAATTTTTTACTACATTTTTCAATGGTTATAAAGAATCAGCAATTTGTTCAGGCTTGTAAGTACTCCTTTTTACATAAACCATCAATCAGACAATATGTTAGCCAAACTTGGCATTTTTCTTACAGGTCAAATTTCATGCAATAACTAAAATATATCTGTAAAACTAGTTCTGGCTATGTGAAAGCTGGTTTAAAAAGTAGTTATTTTGCATTGTATATTTTACCTTAAAATACATTTTAAAAGTGACTAGGAATGGGAAAGGTTAAACTTGGCAGACTTTTATTCAACATAAATTACTATGTCTCTAAAAAGTTAAGATATAATTTTGTTGTTTTGGCTTTGAAGTGAATAATTTGATGCGATTTTCTGGACAAAGTACAGCTCTCATAGCAATTACCATTTTTGAAAACTTCAAGATAGGCAGTTTTTGATGGAAAATGCATTGACAGATGTAATGATGGTTGAGCAATTTTTTTTGTGTGTATTATAAGTTTTTTTTTCACATTGTATATTGTTTATATTAACAGTATAGCTCTTGTCAACTAAGTATTGGGTATTTTATTTATCTTGCAGGTGAATTTGACTTTGCTAATTTTTTCTTTCACTGGATTTATTCTTCCTGGATACCTACTTTTTTACCGGCGCCGCCTAATCCACCTTCAAGATGGAGAGAAACAAAATAAGGACCCTGCTGCTATTCAACTCAATGAAAAAAACCACCCCAATGGCATCACCGAATGTGACACTACAGCTTAACTTTAAAGATGGCTCTGAGGAGAATCATGCAGTTGTATTATAGATGACATAAAGGCCTTGATTTAATAAGCTTTCAAAACGATTCAATACTGTTGGAAAACTTTCCAAATTGTATCTACAATAATTCCCATAGACTTTAATGGTGTCTTATGTAAATAAGTCATTTGGAAATGAATACTAACAGTATTGAATAATTTGGAAAGCTTATTATATCAAGGCCAAAGTTGAGGAATATTTTAGGAGGCCACAGTATTGTAAAATATATTTATACTAAATTTATATAATGGTTACATGTTGCCAATATTTCAATGTTCGTAACTGTATGAAGCATTTAGAGAACGTGCAGAATTTTGTATGTTTGAAACACGCCTGGTTACAGTTTGGTTAGATACAATTGCTGAGGAAACAAAATGTAAAACACATTGTAAATAAGTTGTTTTACTGGTCTCCTTGCATACTCAGGGATACAAAAATGTCCAATAGCTGGTGCCATAGGAGCATGATGTATATTTAATATAAAATTATCTCTTGATAACATGGTGCAAGATAGATACACATGAAGAACATCTTGATGGTTCCAAGAGGAACCCAGTAAATGCTTATTTCTGAGCCTATTCTATAGCAAAGACACCAGTTTCAGTGCTGCTCTAACCAATCTAATGCATATGTTTTCTAGTCACCCTGTAATCAGGGTGATGATAAAGTTTCTACTGTTGTCAAAACAGTAGTGTATTTCCATTATGGAAAGGTACATCACCTGACACTTTTGATAGGTCACTAAATTGTTGTTGCTTTTATTTTTGTGCAGGTGATGGACATTGATCAGTAAAATGTCATATTGACATAGTAAACGATGCATAATGGGACTTTAAAATGCTTATTTATCTTATAAACTGGCAGATGGTAAGTCAGTTAGCCCTCTTGCTAGCATAATGATACCTAGCTAGTGAAATACTGTATTCTTTTACTAGGGAGAGCCATAGTTTGAGTTAGACGTTTTGAAACCAAATTTGCTCATAAATATGAGCAATGTAAGATTGTCTCTTGGAAAGACATTATATTTGTGCCTTCCTGTTGAATAAAATGCACAAGACCAATATTAATACCACAATGCAGAGACATGGTTAGTATTGAGAGGAAAAAATGCATCTTGGACTACACAGTAACAGCAAGTAAATAAACAAAGCAAATTTTAAATCAATGTCCATATTCGATGATTTCAGAACTATGCATTAGTTTTAATAAATATCATTTATACTGTGATTTTCTAATGACTCCACTTTGTAAAAATGTTTGTTTTCATGTGATTACCCTTGTAGATGGTTTGTAATAAAGTTTAGTTGAAACAGTGAAAGAATGACATTGTGTACTGATAACATTTAGATTGTAGCACATCAAAATTTAACCTTCACACTTCCCATCAAGCAGATTGCACAATGAGACAGAAACATTTTCTTTTTATTAATTCATATTCAAAGTATCGATGACTATGAGTAGACTTGTTAATGGTGGAGAATTTAATTTCTGCCCAACCGCTTCTTCTTAAAACAAAACAATGTTCGAGATGGCAGAATTTTGTGCACGTGGTCACTTGTCATAATTTCATCCACCAATAAAGATTAAGGAAAACAAATCAGACAAATCAAAAAGGTGTGAAAATGGCCTAACCAGTTTACTGCAAACAATACACATAAATAATATGTATATATTGTGTGACCCAAATTGCAAATTTTCTGTAATTTTGTTCACAGCTCAAGTCAGAAAAATTAACTAACAGAGGGAAAAAGAAGAATATCCGTAAATAAATAAAGTAGTAAATAAATGTTTAAATATATCTTTTTAATATATAACTAGGTACCAAAGAGATTGCATTGAAATTATACAACTCCCCACAGTGCAAATACAAAAAAATGCTGTTATCTATTTTCTGCATATCTCAAGCGGGACTTTGAAGGGTCCTTCTTTGGCATAGAAACTTGAGAAATCATACTTTCGCAACAAACCCAGAATTCCCAGCATGACATGCAAAGGAGCATAGACAGACATTGTGTTTCAGACTTCATACTACATTTCTGCAGATACCCTTAGCAATGAACACTGTTTTGAACAGTGTGGATCTCATCAGCATATCACTGGTTCTGGTGTGGGTGTTGAAGTCTCTCTGATAGCATGTAGCTAAGATACATGATTTCTCTAAATGGCATGATTTCTCTAATGGCACATGGTTGGTTTCTGGTCACTGATGTTTTTCGATCATAATCCATGCTTTGGTTTTAACAACCTCTATTTAAAACAGTGTCCAGTGCTGAGGGTATGTGCAGAAATGCAGTATGAAGTCTGAAACATGACAGTCATTTAAGAAAAGGGCAACAGCAGTATTAAGAGAAATTTTATTAATTAATTTTTTCAAATTTTATTTGAGAGGCGAGTGGTCAATAGAACATCTGCTAACAGATGATGACATCTTAAGTGTTAAACTGAAGAGCAAGGTAACCCAAGTTGGAAGACTGAACATTTGTGAGTGTTGGGGATTTAGAATGTTCCTGTAACAGAGAAAACTCTATCACTTTGGACAGTAGTTTGACATGTCAATAGATGCTAGGCAACAAAACACAGAGCAGGCCACATACTTTTCTTTTCACCTCAGTAGCTCAGAGCATCTTTGGTGGGAGGCAAAATATATTCAAACAGGTAAGCACTATTTTAGAGACAATACACTTCTTTCAGCTGGTTCACTTGCTTCCACCAAATCACCAGCAGCATTAAGCCAAAACTTAACTGAATACCTAAAACAAAATGAGTAAGTGCAAAAATGGCAAAATCAAGTTGTAATGTGCAAATGTCACTATAAATAATATAATAAATACATATTTATAAGAACACTGGCAAAAATTCACATAAAGCAAAAACTATAAGGAAATGGTGCGCAAAACAACACTTTCAATATATATCTAAGGGAGTACCAAATAAAACAATAGTGTTATTCCTACCTATATGTATATATATAAAACAATGTATAAAAAAGTATGTATCATGCACACAAGCATAAATTCAAAAAAAGATGTGTGACAACAATCTGTATAAAGTAAATTACAAAAGAGTGCTACTAAAATATAAAGTAGCCACAAATAATCAAAAAATATTTTGGAAAAGTGCGCTGTGCAAACAATACTTGCTTAGTATAACAAACGTAATTATTGATGACCTATAAATAAAGAATATAAGAGAGACAGTGCAACACTGTAAAACTTATGAAAAAAAAAAAAAAGAAAACTTCAAATGGACATTAACTCCCAAAGGTAGAATGAATAACGTACCACTTAAAACTCTTTGTCCAAGGGAGGATCCCAGAAGACAAACCTTCACATAAAAATCGAGTTAGATGACAATAGGGGTGATCAGTCAAGTAATGGTACAGAATGCAAACCTTTATTGGTGATTGTCATTGTTTTGGGAATAGTTTATTAGAGCACATAATTTTGGCGTGGGCTCTGAAACATGAGGAACACACATGGAGCAGCCTACAGGCACTAAACCTACAACCTCCAGCGTTAAAATTATTACATACCTGGGCTTTCCCTAAAAAGATAATGGTTTGTCCCAGCTTATCTTTCAGGTCACCAAATTGACATCCTTGCCCTCCAAGATATCTTCTCTAAGGTTTAAGGGGACCAGATGAGCAGATGTAATGATCTGGGACGGTTGACTTGACAGGGTAAGTAAACTTGAATAACCCGGATGAGTAGGTTCAGGTTTGGGGTAGGGTAAATTAACAACAGGATTTGTAGACTGGGCATGACAGCTGATTCCAATTTCTCCAGTCTGGTGTTAATTTTGGAAATAGAGGCCGCTACAGATAAGACCATGTTGCGTAGCCCTGTCAGATTGTTTTGAATAGAACCTTCTTGGCTCATACTAGGTCTTTCATTATCATTAGTGGCTTTCAATAATTGGAATAATTCAGCTTTCTTAGTTGGGGCTGGGAAAAAGGTACTGCTGCACCTCAATTCAGACATAATCTTAGGAACAGTCCAAGACCTGTAACTGGAGGCTGGACTAGGGGCTTCAGAAAGCCTGGATGGAAAACAGGATCTAGCAGTGGTACTTGGTAGGGAGATATCATCACTATGAGCCGAAATGTTAGAAATCCTATGAATGTAAAAGAATGATATGATTATGTGAACCTGGCTTAATAACTAGAACTGGCAAGTATTGGCTAAATATTAATGTTAAGTTATAAAATTATATCATAAAGCTACAGTGGTGACAAATGAGGCCCTGCTAGTTGCCAATCATCGAGAAAGGCTCTACCTGTGATCAAGATTATTTTATTAGGTATTTATTTTAGATTTAAATGACAATTAGTATATTTGCCCCATTTATATTGATCCTTATTTCATCTTTTTTTATTAATTTACTTAATAATAGGTGGGTTTTATTTATTTTAGGTACTCTATAACTCTTTTTTTCATAATTGTATGTACCGTATATACTCGAGTATAGGTCGATCCGAATATAAGTCGAGGCCCCTAATTTTACCCCAAAAAACTGGGAAAACTTATTGACTCGAGTATAAGACTAGGGTGGGAAATGCAGCAGCTACTGGTACATTTCTAAATGAATGCAGTGTGTGTATATGATGCAGAGTGTGTTTGTGTTTGTGTATGTGATTCAGAGTGTGTAACCTTGGTGGGGGTGGGAATTTTTATTATTTATTTTTGTTATTATTATTTTAATATTAATTTTTTTTTTGTATTATTACATTTTTATTTTATTATAATATTATTAAAAATTTTATTTTATTTTTTCGTCCCCCCTCCCTGCTTGATACATGGCCAGGGAGGGGGGCTATATTATTCCTTGGTGGTCCAGTGGATGGGCTGTGCAGGAAGGGGGCCGGGAGCAAGCTGTTACTTACCTTTACAGCAGCTCTGTTCAACTCCCTTCTCCTCTGTGCCGTTCAGCTCCAGTGTAAATCTCGCGGTCTGCAAGCCGTGGCA